ACAAATGAGCGTGGGGCCAAAATTGAACTAAGTCAACCTAAAACTCCTACGTTACTCTACGAAGAAACCAGCCGATGACTTAAGCCAGTCAAAAAAGTGTTTTATGTATTCTCACCTTAAAAGGTGGATGCCAAACACCACCAGACTATTTCTGAGAAAAAAAAACCACAGTCGCAATCGCATTTAAATTAGGTCATACTCTCGCATTTATTTTTTTTTTAGAAATGGTGCACTGCCTGACATTTTTCTCTCGTGGCTTAGCCTTTATTATATTGGCAGGAACGTGGTGCCAACCTCGATAATAACGCGACGACTTGATAAAAGAATATAGAACTCTTAAAAACAGAACATACTTGCCTTTACCAGAACTATTGCTATGATGCCACTCTTTTTTTTTTTTTTTTCTTACCACTCACCTTTTGTCTTCTTTGACCTGTGTATTCTTATGTTGATGCTATTGCCACCATCAAATATGGAATATTTCTCCCGGCACAATTTCCGACAATAGTTCTTGAGTATATTTTTACAGATTTTCTTCAAGACCGAACACCTTTGACACTTTTGATTCAAATATTTCTTACAAAATGTAGAGCTTAACGAAAAAGGGAAATTTATCAAAATATTCTCTAAGAAAAGTTTCGGAAAGGATCTGCCTTACCTGGATGTGGTGGTAGAATCATTACAGTGAACTACCATTTCAAAATTCCCCTAAATTATGGATAATTTGTTGAGCCAAAGTTGTGAAAAACATTTCTCAAAATAAAGTCAAAATAATTTGCTATTTTCAAAGGCTATTATTGCCATCGCCCATAATTAAAAGATTCAAATTTAAGGCCTGTACCTGAACTGCAAGAATATAAAGGTGAGAACACATAAATTGTTTTTTTGACTGACCTAAGGGAAAGGAAATACATAAAGCACATATTTGGCTGGCATAAGTCATCGGCTGGCTTCTTCGTTGTTGAACAAAGGAGTTTTAGGTTGACCTAGTTTGATTTTGGCCCCAGGCTGCATTTTCATTTTCGAAGAAGCCAGCCAGATGAACGCTTTATGTATTCCCACCTTAAGTCATCGGCTGGCTTCTTCGTAAAGGAAAACAGGGGTTTTAGGGTGACTTAGTTCGATTTTGGCCTTACGCCCCTTTGTTCTTTTCTGAAGAAGCCAGCCGAGGACTTACAGTGGTGGCCAAAACATATGCAACAAATATTAGTTTTTTAAGAAGTCCTCTAAAAAAAATATTTTCTAAAGGAAACAAACGGAACTTGTTATAAATTTTTTTAGCTCATTTTATTGGTTAACAGAAAATAAAATTTAATCCATACTTATAACAAAGAAAACATAGAAAATTTGTAGATATTCAATATAGTCTAATATTTGGTTGGTCAAAACATATGCAACCAATCATTGTGTTAAATTGTTTGTGCAAGAATATTAATATTTTGTAGCAAATCCTTTATTTTTAATTACAGCCTGACATCGGCGACGCATGGACGATATAAGGTTGTCAATAAAATGTTGAGGAATCGATTTCCAGGCCTCTTCCAACCTGTTGTACAAAATATTCGTATTTGTACAATTTTCACGATTGATTCTTTGATTGACGATTTCCCAAAGGTTCTCAATGGGGTTTAAATCAGGTGATTGCGGTGGCCATTGCATTACTGCAACATCATTTTGTGCTAACCACGATTTAACAACTCTTGAAGAGTGTTTGGGGTCGTTGTCGTGCTGGAATATCCATCGCAATGGCATCTCATACTCTGCATATGGTAGCATTACCGTTTCCAATATGTCTTTGTACATGTACTGATCCATTATTCCATTAATTCTATGCAATGGACCTACTCCTGCAGCAGAAAAACACCCCCACACCATTACGCTGCCTCCTCCATGTTTCACTGTCTTTGTACAGTATCGAGCTTGGAGCCGCTTATTAGGTGGTCGCCGTACATAACGCATACCATCGCTACCAAAGACGTTAAATTTGGATTCGTCGCTAAACAATACAGTTCTCCATTTCATTTCTGTCCAATGTAAATGCTCCTTTGCAAACTGCAAACGCTTTTTTTGATTACGTATGGAAATAAGAGGTTTTTTTGCTGGGCGGCGGGCTGGAAGGGAGGCATCATTTAGACGTCTGCGAATAGTCCGATCAGAAATTTGTATTGGGAGTGTTGCAGCAATTTTTGAGGATGTGATAAAAGGATCTTTTTTCACTTTTTGGATTATTAAATTGTCCGTACGATTAGTTGTTTTGCGAGGTCGACCTCCGCTGTGTTGTACCGAAACATCCGAATTCTTTTTAAAATTCGCAATAATGCGAGAAACTGAACTTTTATGCACCTTGTATTTTAGTGAAATATTTTTTTGTGACATTCCTTCGGAAAAATCGGCCACAATACGTTTTCTTAGCTCGATTCCGAACTTATCCCGCGCCATAATTAAATATCTTTTTTTTACTTTTAATCGAAATTCTACTGCTAATTTGTGCAAGGTTATCCGTGATTAATACAGTTTCAACAAATATATTATGAAAACACGTGAGAAAAAGTGGTAAAAATACCGTTATCCGTAAATGATCGAAGAGTTGCATATGTTTTGTCCATATCCATTTTTAGGTTATCGATAAACATAAAAAAAAATTGACAAAATCAAAACCAGATGTTTGTTCTGGTACATATGATCGGTGTCTAAGTTACTACAGAGGAATATAGATGTATTATTAACGTATTGCTTGGAACAAAAATTGCTTTTATGAGTCATTTTACAATATGTGATGTCCAGTTGCATATGTATTGGCCACCACTGTATGTATGTGTCTGCAATTCAGTGCTGAAAGCACTCAAAATATAACTACCATCCACCTTAATACACAACTATATAGCACATCAGAAATCTACACATAGTTAGAATTTAAAGCCTTTGGGCATCTTTTTTTCTGGTTTCCATTGCAGATACCACTCTTTTTGAGAATGATGAATGCACACACACGCATACAACACAACTGTCACTTCCATCTCTCTTGGGTTTGTAAATCATGAAAGTTTCTGTAACTAACATTACAAAGGGCCGCTTGATGAGAGGTTATAAAAAACTTACAAAATCTATATTTAAAGGTGAGAATACATAAAACGGTTTTTGACTGGCTTAAGTCATTGGCTGGCTTCTTCGGAAAGAATAAAGCAGCGTAGAAGCAAAATCGAACTCCTCCTCCCATGATCTACGGAGAAGCCAGCCGATAACTGAAGCCAGTCAAAAAAGCCTTTTATGTACTCTCACCTTAAGGATGGAAATTGTAAAATTAGAAGAATTACTTTTCTGTAAGGCAATCTTATCACATATACACTATATCTAGTTGAAAAATATAGAATTTCAATCTAAGGGTGGAAATACATAAAGCGCATATTTGGCTGGCTTAAGGTGGAAATGCATAATGCGCTTATCTGGCTGGCTTAAAGGAGGAAATACATAAAGCACATATTTGGCTTGCTTAAATCATTGGCTGGCTTCTTCGTAGATGAACAAAGGGGTTTTAGGTTGACCTAGTTCGATTTTGGCCCTAGGCTCCTTTGTTCATTTCCGAAGAAGCCAGCCGATGACTTAAGCCAGCCAGATAAGCGCTTTATGTATTCCCACCTTAAGTAATCGGCTAGCTTCTTCGGAAATTAACAAAGGAGCCTAGTGCCAAAATCGAACTAAGTCAACCTAAAACTCCTTTATTCATCTACGAAGAAGCCAGGCGATGACTTCAAACCAGCCAAATATGCGCTTTATGTATTTCCACACTTAAGTCTTCGGCTAGCTTCTTCGTAGATTCTTAATTTCACCAGGGATTTCTTTTTTGAATAAATTTTGCTTATTTTTTTTTTTAATTTTATTGAATGAAAACAAAAAATGTCGGAAAAAGCATCAAACTTTAGACCAATTCGAACAAATCTAAACTTAAACAAAATCTAAACTTAGATTTGTTCGAATTGGTCACCTTTCGCACGAATTATGGCTGTTATGGCGGCCCCCACCATCACCATGGCCGGCGCTTGAGTTCTGGTGGCCAACCGAAGGAGCACATTTTCAACTGACCTCTTTGGCAAGTAAACACGATCATTTTGTTTGTTTACAAACTGCTGGACAACGAACGTTTTCTCATCGGAGAAAACCAAATTCGGCAGTTCACCACTTTCGGCCAAGCGAAGCAACTCTTTAGCCCTTTTGAGTCTAATTTCTTTCTGTTACGGTGTAACTTCTTGCACTTTTTGGAATTTCAATGGCTTTACCCCGAGCTCATTTTTCAATATTTGCCGAATGGAATATTGCGATATGTTCAGCTCTCGAGCCATTTTTCGGCCACTGCGACGCGGGTTTCGATCAAGTCGCTTCTTTACTTTTCGAACCATTTCTGCTGATGTTGCTGTTAGTCCAAAATCGGACTAAGTCAACCTAAAATTCATTTGTTCCTCTACGAATTAGCCAGCCGATGACTTAAGCTTGCCAAATAAGCGCTTTATGTATTCCCACCTTAATTTTTCGGCAGCTGCGCGTAATTTTTCTCAAACCTACACACGATTATTAATTTTATTATAATGTGGATCATCCTCGTTATAGTGGAAATATGCCGGTCGATAAACTTCCACCACCGATAGCCGCTTTTTCAATTCACTTAACAAATATGAATTCCTCAAAACTACTGGTAAATTCAATTTTTGTTATTTGTCTATTTAATTAAATTTAAAATTTAAAAAACAACAAAATATCCACCTTTTTTTAAATATCATGACCGTTGTCTCTCTTATTATTGACAATGACGCCGTTAATAGTTATGCTTCGGCATGGTTGTTTGTAAATTATGCCAAACAGCTGTTTGGCATTTGTTGACATGCTGCGTGAATAGTCGTGCATTTTGCTGGTGAATGTAGTTGTGCTGCACGGAAAATTGCAATAAAAAGGAATTGTCTAATAAATACGTAAATAAGTAGTACATTTGTATTATTAACTGACTTGTGCATTAATGCAGAATATATTTGGTCATTAAAGGACATAAATTGATACAAATTAAAAGTAAGTATTTGCATTTTGTAATCATAATTTGTTTGTAGTTTTAGGTTTCTATTTGAAGTGTTTTTAACAAAAAAATCCAAAAGTTGTCTAAAAACCACTGGATAATTTTAAGCCAGCAATTTTAAATCTACTGCCAACATTAATTACATTTAAAGAGGTACAACTATTGAAGAAGACGCATGAGTGTCAATGACTTTCGATTCTGCCTGGCACGAGGCGCGTTAAAAGTCGGTATTTTATAAATTTCTAATAATGAACGAAATCAGTTACATTCAAATTCTCTTATTATGGTTGCATAGCAGAACCCATGAATTTACCGGTGGAAAGGAATTATTTTGTACTAACAAATATATTTACATTTTTAATCTTATGCCAGATCTCAATATATTAAATATATATTTTATTGTCTGGCATAAAACGAAGATTTAGTTTTTCCTCTCATATGTCTCTCCTTCCCACTTACCTTTTTTATCTTTCTAGCATGTGGAGTAGAATATTAGTGGAAAAGCTAATACACAAATACAGGCAACATGAATATTTATACAACTCAAGTCATCCATTCTATGCGGATCGAGCAAGAAGAGCCGCCTCTCTGCAGGATATATGCAGATCCTTGAATAAAATCAATAAAAATATCACCGTATATGAATTGAAAAAGAAAATTCATACATTGCGTTCGCAATATCTCAAAGAATTGCGCGATATGGGCAAAAGCCGACAGGAGGGAGTAACTGGAGTACTAGAACCCAAACTATGGTGTTATGATAAATTGGATTTCCTAAAATATCATTGCCATACCAAATACTCGACGATCGATGATGTTGAGGTAAGAAAAGCGAAGAAATTGTAACTTAAGAAAATGTAAATTGATAAATTTTCTTATTTCACACAGATGGAGGATGTGATTGAAGAGGTAAGTAATTATTTTAAAATGAATGTGCGTTATAAAATATATTTTTTTATATTTTTAGGTTGAGGAAGCACATAATAATACTGAGGTACATTAAATATTACCAATGAAAAATAAGAATTTTAATAAAATATTTAAACATTACAGATTACATGTATATTTGAGGATGGCGACACCCAACATAATCATCCCAATGATGGCGAAAGTTCGGATGAGTTTGAATTCACTTCAATTGATAAGTAAATATGAAACTTGTGATCGCAACTGGCAATCGGTTCATTTTAACATTTGGGTTTTTTCCGTTTTTAGAACATGGACCAAAGAATTGGTTAAAGTCCTTATTGAGCAATATCGTCAGCAGGAAAATTTGTACAATACCAACGATCCACGCCACATGCATCGTAAAACAAGACACCAGTCTTTTCTAGAGATGTGCGAAGCCATTAATAAAATTAATGAACACATCACTGTGCCGGATATCAAAAAGAAAATCCACACTCTAAGATCACAATATATTCGTCAATTACATGATATTCGTGAGGGTAAACACGAGGAGAGCCGTGGTAGGCTGTGGTGTTTCGATCGTTTGGATTTTCTGAGACCACATTGTACATTTAAAAATCAAGTTGAAGCTGTGGAGGAGGTACGTGAATTGTTAATCTAAAAGATGGTAAAGTAAAAGTAAAATGGTTATTGGGAACTAAAGAAAGGTATTTGTTCGCACATGTACAAAAGTTGCAAAACTCTATACTCAACATAAATTACAATGTATGTTGTGATTACCACAATTGTACTACTTCAGCACCAGGGTGCAGCCCTACTTTTGTTATTTCAAAATCCCTATTACAGATTCATTTTCTTATGAAATCCGAATAACCTCTTTTACATTTAATTATTGCTTTATTCCAGAACTGCAAGAATGTAAGAAATTTTGCTACGGTAACCGATTTTTAATTTATGATATCGAAAAAATTGTAAAACCAGTAGATTTTTGCAGGTTCTGGAATGGATCATATATGTATGTATATGTTACTTTAATATTACATTTTTTTAAATCTATCAGGTAGAAGAAGATCATACCCCCTGCAATATTTCTGAGGTAATATTTTGTATTTAGTTTTTAGTTCAAAAATTACATTCACATATTTTTAGATTGAAGTTCTAAATGAAACCCTAGTTGATGGAAATGTAAAAGGATTTAGAGAACATGAAAATCTTATTGAAACAAAAATAAGTTCAAATCAAAAGTAAGAACTGAATCAATAATCGTAAGCTTAATATAAGAATGCAATCTTAAGTCCCTATATCAACGAAATAACCCGTATCAAATTTTGACTAAAAATAGTTTTTAGACTAAAAATAGTTTTTGACTAAAAATAGTTTAGTTTTAGGGATCCACAAGAAGTAAAAAAGCTGTAGGTTCGACCGGGCCAATCTTTGAATATCCTCCACAATTTGGAAAGAATTTGGCTATTTTCAAAAAAATAATTTTCTGTCTTAGGCTATAGTATTCAACTTCAAACACAAAATTTGAAACAATTCCGGTGAATAATGTTGCTAAAATCATTAAAATACCGAATATCGGGAGGTACTGTTATATGGGAGCTATACGAAGACGTGGACCTGCACAGACAATTTTCTGTCATAGGCTGTAGTACCCATTACGAACTTCAAATATCAAATTTAAAACAATTTCAGTGAATAATGTCGCTAAAATCATCAAAATACCGAATATCGAGAGGTACCGTTATATTGGGGCTATATCAAAATGTGGACCTACATCACCCATTTTCAATACCAAAAATCCTGCAGGCATAATATATATTTGATTAAATCGACATAGAATTTTATGCTGATCAGGAATATTATACATTTTGCGGTCTTAAATATATATTCCGAGGTGTTACAAACACAATGACAAGCTTTATATATCCTCCATACTCTGGTGGAGGGTATAAAAATGTAATATATGTCTGAAAATCACCTGACTGCATTAAAATTATTTATACATATTATAATCTGAAGATTACCTCCTGTACCTTTTTCCTTTAGATCGTAAATAATACTCTTTGCTATATTTTCAGAATATGGTCCAAAAACTTGGTGGAACTCTTAATAGATGAATATCGCAAACATGCTAACCTTTACAATAGTCGACATCCGCTGTACTTGAAACGTACAGCCCGAATGAATTCTCTGCTGGAAATATGCCAAGCTATTAATGAAATCAATGATAATTTTACAATGGAAGATGTTAAAAAGAAAATTCACACTTTGAGATCACAATTTCTCAAAGAACTGCGTGAATTTTTGGACTCAAAACAGGACGATGTTGCCAATCAAATAATGAAGCCAAAACTTTGGTGCTTTGACAAATTGAAATTTCTTAAAGATCACTGTTCTTTAAAGAGATCTACCACATTAGAGGTAAGGCAATGATAGTTTTTAAGTGACAGGATCCAAAGAATTTCTTTGGATTGGTGCAGGAAACTATGAGATTTTCATTTGAAACTAAATATTTTGACCAACAATCTAAAATATTAGCTTTTAGACAACACGAATTTAAGCTAATTCCGTTCTGAATACGGGATCGATAATATTTTTCTTTCTATTCTATTGCAGTTTGAAGATTCGAATGCTCTTGACACTGATCCAGAGGTAAGCACAGTTTGTTTGTTAAAAAATGTATGAGTCTCATAAAGTGATCTTCCTTTTTTGTTGCAGTTTGAGGAGCTCAGAGAAAATGTTTTGCATGAATATGAGGTAATACATCTGTCATTGTGGTAACTTTCGATTTCCTTAAAATTCCATTTCTGTTTAGATCGAGGAAATGTCCCGCGTGGCCTCTGAAACCTCGGAAGAAATTATCGAAGAATATTGTGCATCGGATGATCTGGAGGAATTTGATGCACAGAAATATATGTACGTAAATCTATTAAAAAAAATATTCACACATGTGGTGGAAATCGGTTCGATCTAGTTTGACGAATTATTTAATGGAAATTGCGGTTAAATTTTGAAAATATAGTATTCCGGTTAGACAAATTGAAGCCATTTCCACCCCATACCTGATTATGTAAATTATTCATATTATATAGTTGCACCGCAATTCATTGATTGCGGCCAGACAACTAATAATTTTGTATATCGGCCTCAATTCAATGTTTACCAAAATTAAGCTTTTTGTCCAGATGCCACTCCATCCTCTCACCGAATGCTCTTACTTTTATTCTATTTCTAGATTATGGACTAAAGATATGGTGGAGTACTTAATCAACCGATATCGACAACATGAGAATCTATATAACACCAAAAATCCATACTATATGGATCGACCAAAACGTTTCAATTCCATGCTGGCAATATGTAAAGAGTTAAAGAGATATAACCAAAATCTCACAGTGGATGATGTTAAAAAGAAAATCCATACCCTAAGATCTCAATACGTCAAAGAACTACGTGATATCTATTTAAGTCAAAGAGATGTTGTTGAACCAAAACTATGGTGTTTCGAACAAATGGAATTCTTAAAACCCTACTGTAGGATGAAAAGAAAATTTTCAAATAATACAATAGAGGTAAGTTCTGAAAAAATGAGAATATATATATATATATATATATATATATATATATATATATATATATATATATATATATATATATATATATATATATATATATATATATATATATATATATATATATATATATATATATATATATATATATATATATATATATATATATATGTATATATATATATATATATATATATATATATAGTTAAACGCCATAATTTTTTTTAAATTTTATTGAACGAAAGCAAAAAAAGTAGAAAATAGCATCAAATTTTAGAATAAATTTAGACTTGTTAGAATTGATCGTCTTTGGCACGAATTATGGCCAATGAAACCATCACACGCTGCCCGAATGTTGCTCTGCGGTATTTTGGCCCTTTCCCGGCGAAGCGCTTGCTTGAGTCGATCGATACTTTGGTATTTTTTAGTGCCAACCTTGCTTTCCAAAATACTCCAGACACAATAGTCCAACGGATTGGTATCCGGAGATTTTGGTGGCCATTGTGCGATTAAAAAGGAAGAGAGGAACCTCTTTTGTAAACATTCTTGGGTGGCGCGTGCAGAGCCCTGTAGGAATTTCCAAAGTCTGCGGCCAAAATGTTTGCGTGCCTACGGCTTAATTACGTCCTCCAGAATATTTTCGCGATAATATTCGGCATTTATATTGATGCCACGGTCGAATAATACGAGCGGAGAGAGCGACCATCGGCTGTTATGCGGCCCACACCATCACAATGACCGACGCATGAGTTCTGGTGGCCAACTGAAGGTGCACATTTTCAGATGACCTCTTTGGCAAGTAAACACGATTATTTTGTTTGTTTACAAACTGCTGGACATCGAATGTTTTCTCATCGGAGGAAACCAAATTTGGCAGTTCACCAACTCTTTAGCTCTTTTGAGTCTATTTTCTTTGTTTCTTTTGCGGTGTAAGTTCTTAGTGGCTTAGAAATGACAGCAGTCTGAAGTTGGTTGCAGTTTTTTCATCTTACCCTGTATTTTTATACCCTTCACTATAGTATGGAGGGTATATTAGGTTTATCATTCTGTTTGTAACACCTCGAAATATGCATTTTAGACCACACCAAATATATATATTCTTGATCAGCATAAAATTCTATGTCCGTCCGTCTATCCGCCTGTCCGTATGTGGAAATCACTCTAGCTTCCGAACGAAATGAAGTAGGGTGATAAAATTTTACTCAAATTTACATTATTATGTCTGCAGGACTTTTTGTATTGAATATGGCCCATGTAGGTCCACGTTTTAGTATAGCCCCCATATAACGGTACCTTCCGATATTCGGTATTTTGATGTTTTTAGCGACATTATTCACTGGAATTGTTTTAAATTTGGTATTTGAAGTTCGCAATGGATGCTACAGCCTATGACAGGAGATTATCTGTACAGGTCCACGTCTTCGTATGGCCCCCATATAACGGTACCTCCCGATATTCGGTACTTTGTTGATTTTATCGACATTATTCACGGGAATTGTTTCAAATTTGGTATTTGCAGTTCGTAATGGATACTACGGCCTAAAACAGAAAATGGGCCATGTAGGTCCACGTCTTCGTATAGCCCCATATAACGGTACTCCGATATTCGGTATTTTGATGATTTTAGCGACATTAAAGTTTATTTGAAGTTCGTAAAGAATGCTACAGCCTATAACAGAAAATTGTCTGTCCAAGTCCACGTCTTCGTATAGCCCCCATATTACGGCACCTCCTGATATTCGGCATTTTGATGATTTTAGCGACATTATTCACCGGAATTGTTTCAAATTTGGTATTTGATGTTCATTATGGATGCTACAGTCTATGACAAGCGATTGTCTGTGCAGGTCCACGTCTTCGTATAGCCCCCATGTAGCGGTACCTGCTGATGTTTGGTATTTTGATGATTTTAGCTACATTATTCACCGTTTTCTATTTTTTTAAGTTTCGCATTTGAATATTGTAATGGCTTATGACAAAAGTTACTAATGTAAGTCCATGTCGTCGTATAGACTCTAATATAATAGCAACATTCGGTAATTTTAAGATTTTAACAGAATTTTTAACGGATTTTATTGTTTTAGAGAATTGCGAAATTCTTTCCAAATGTTGGTGGGTATTCAAAGTTCGGCCTGGCCGAACTTACAGTATTTTTACTTGTTTTATTTGTATTTTTTATTTTTTTGTTGTTGAAATAATCTTTGGTGATTATGCTATTAACGACGTAGTAATTAAGATTCTGCTTAGTATTTACAAAATACTGACACTCCTTTATATTTATTAACACAGAAAGCGGCAAAATATTCTCCACTGAACAGCAGTGAATCTAATGCAGAAGCATATAGTGAATGTGAAACCCCCTATGAATTAGATCAATCTACAGCAAACAGGTAAGAAGAACTAGAGATTTCTTTGAAACCCAACTTAATTTTATTATAATATTCCAGAATGTGGAACAGACACTTAGTTCAGTTACTAATCTCCAAATACCGTAGACACGAACATTTATATAATACAAATAACCCACAATATTTGGATAGAGAAGCTAGATTAAAATCGCTACAGGATATTGCCAAAAGCCTTCAGAGAATTAATGCAAACATAACCATATATCATATTAAAAAGAAAATTCATACTTTACGAACTCAATATCTGAAAGAATTGCGTGAACTACAAGAAAATGCAGTTGGAAAAGCCACAGCACCAAAACTTTGGTGTTACAGGCAATTGGCTTTCCTGGAACCACATTGTGTAATAAAAAATTCTACAGCTAATAGCAATGAGGTAAATTTGAAGCAAAGTTTATTTAAAAAAAAAGATTCATTGTTTCTTTTTAGGTTGAAATGGAGTTAGTGAGTAATGATCCAATAGGAGCTGATGAGGTATGTGGACCAGAAATGTATAGAAATTAATTTAAATATTATGTTTTATGTGTATTTTAAGGCTCATGACATCAATACCTTCTATTTGGATTATGAAGAAATAAACGAGGAATTTGATTTACACGAAGACAACACTTTGGATAAACAGGATGTGTAAGGCTCCTCAAAATCCAGCAATATTTAATAACCTCAAATTAAATGAAACTTTACCTTTCTTAGACTATGGACCAGGGAAATGTTGGAGTTGTTAATACAAAAATATCAACAACACGAAAATTTGTACAACAAAACACATGCTCATTACAATAATGCTACAAAGAATTTGAAATCTTTTCGCGACATTTGCAAATCGACAAAAAAATTGAATCCGGATATCACAGAAGAAGATGTAAAGAATGAAATCAATAATTTGAAGAGGCAATATGTCGAAGATTTAAAGAGACTGGAAGGGAGAAGAGATTTGAAACCAAAATTATGGTGTTTTGAACAGTTTGCATTTCTAAGGCCATATTGTGACGACCAGCGAAAATATAACTTGGATGATTTGGAGGTAAACCGATGCTTTCTTTGAGAATTTAAATTCTATTCTTTTTTTATTTAGATGCAGGAAACCGATGGAAATGAGAATGCAGCCTATATTGAATGTGAAAAACCAATTAAAGACGGGAAGGAGGTAAGTATACAGGGTGAGATGAAAAAACTGCAACTTCAGCCTGCTGTCATTTCTAAGCCACTCACCCCGACAGCTGTTAAAATTATTTCAGTGACGGCTCATTATATTGCATTTACAAGCATACAAAAGCATTTTGGTGAGAATTTTCCAGAAAAAGAAAGTTATTTGTGATCGAATTCAAGCATGATAGTGTGATTTCTTTCTATCGTTAGAGCACTCCAGCATTTAAATGTGAATAAATCGCTCATTACCTTTATACTGTTATCGTAGCCCGACGATAAGTAAGTGGACGGAAAAAACAGCAACATCAACAGAAATGGTTTGAAAAGTAAAGAAGCGACTTGATCAAAACCCGCGTCGCAGTGACCGAAAAATGGCTCGTGAGCTGAATATATCGCAATATTCCATTCGGCAAATATTGAAAAATGAGCTTGGGGTAAAACTATTGAAAAACCAAAACGTGCAAGAACTTACACCGCAACAGAAAGAAAATAGACTCAAAAGAGTTAAAGAGTTGTTGTTGTAGCAGTAGTACATGCAAGTGTTTGCGTTCTGCTAATCTGGTTCCAGCTCCAGGTTAAGAAATTCGGCTACTTTGATGGGCTGTAGCCAGAGATCTTCTGGAGTGAGTTGGGTAGGTTTGGCTATGCTATTAAAGAGGTGCAACGTATTGTGCGTGCCTGTATCACACACCGGGCAGGCGTCACACACATCTTCATCAATTCGTGCCCAATACGAATTGAGACGACTACACCATCCTGAACGTAATTGCGCGACAACTACCCTGCTTTGTCTAGACAACCGACGTTCTTCAGCTGCAATGGATGGGAGGGTGGACTGCGAGGACGGCATTCATATTATAACTGCTAATAGAATCCGCGACTGCGTCGGTATGAATGCCACTCAGACCTGCCTGATAGGCTTCTTGATCTAGAGGTTCTCTCTTGTAGCGTCCCTCTCTAGATCGTGTATGTGCTTCCTGACACGCCTGGGTGTGGGAGATTTATCCACCATATGATGGTTGGGATGACTCTCACGGTAACACCCAATCAGGTACTGCAACGAAAATACGATTATGCTGACGTAAGGGAAGGACTTTCGCCTCCTCATGTAGATGGTCCACTGGTGTCATGAGAAGGCACCCTGTCGTAGTTCTCAGGGCAGCGTTCTGGCAGGTTTGGATATGCTTCCACTGCGTAGCACTAGTATTCGCAGACCACACTGGAGCCGCATATCTGACCACAGATCGTGTTAAAAGAGGTCAACAAAGTTTTATTGTTCGCAACCCAAGTGCTGCCGGCTAGCGCCTTGAGGACCTTGTTCCTATTTTTCCTCTTTGTCGCAGATAACGCGGACGACTTGAACATGCTGTCGAATCTGACCCCTAGAATCTTGGGGTAGTTCGTGGTCGGTATTAAATTTCCCTCGACCTGCACATTCAACTGTGTTCTCATCTCCGCAGACCATGTGGTAAAGAGTGTGGCCGTTGATTTCGTGGCGGATATTTTCATATTCCTGGCGTGGAAGTATGCGGCAAGCTCCGCGTGATCAGAATAAATGCGGAATATTATCGCGAAAATATTCTGTATTAAAGCCTTGGGCAGGCAAACATTTTGGTCGCAGACCTTGGATATTCCAATAGGACTCAGCACCATCGCACTCAGCACGCGCCATCCAAGAATGGTAACGCGCCACCCACGAAATGGAACAAAATGCCACCAAAATCTCCGGATACCAATCCGTTTGACTATTGTGTCTGGAGTATATTGGAAAGCAAGATTGGCTCTAAAAATACCAAATTGTTGATCACATCAAGCAAGCGCTTCGCCGGGAATGGGCCAAAATACCACAGAGCAACATTCGGGCGACGTTTTTATTGTCCGTTTGAAGGCCACAATTCGTGTCAAAGGTGACCAATTCGAACAAATCTAAACTTATTCTAAAATTTGATGCTATTTCCGACATTTTTGCGCTTTCATTCAATAAAATTTAAAAAAGAATTTAAAAACTATGGCGTTTGACTTTGTTGCAGTTTTTTTATTTCACCCTGTAGATCATTGTACGAGTTTGCAAGGCACACACCCAACAAAAATATCTATTATTTTTACCTGAAACATGACTAGGAGGAAAGGGAATTATATTTTTTTCTCTTCTTTCAGCATCAAACCTCTAAGGAAATCCTACGCTATTTACGTTGTGGTGAAATTCTAATAGCCTCATCCTGTGACTACAAGGATCCCTATATTTTGAAATGTGATCATTGCGGTGATGTTTATTCTGCAGTAGATTCATTCCTCAATCATTGTATATATCATTTTCAATTGGGAGAAAAAAATGAAATAGGACTGAAAGAGAATTCCTGTCGCGAACAGAAATCGGGATGTAATGAAGTGAATGGTGCAACAAATGAATTATATAGTGTTGAAATAGCTGTTGATAAATTTGAAAACCCGGAGATGGATGAGGTAATGTTTAAGAGATAAACGTCGCCATAAAATGACAATTTCTTTTTGTGCCAGGAGGGTCAAGATGATGACGAGCATGTAGAGGAATCACAATTTAACGATTTGGAAGATTTTGAACCCTTAGAATACGATCCTTATGTCACGGAAGAATTTTCTGTGGACGAAGAGTGTCAAGCCTACGAGGGAGAGGTATATCTCAACTTTTTACCTTTTGCAAAATGCTGAAACTTTTGTAAAATGCAGAAATTTATTATCTCTATTTTATCACTCAAGGATCCATTAGACTTGTATGGAGAAGAAATTGAAAGCCAATTTGATGAAGAGGAGGATTACACAATGTTTTCGGAACAATTGCATTCCAAAGATCCTGCCGAGCTATCTTCATATGACGATCAAGAGTATTTATACGACGAACATATAGAGAATGTGGTAAATAAATACACCTTTAGTTTTTCCAATAATAAAACTCATATTCCTCCACTACCGCCTTCACAGCAGACCCAGAACTACACTCCTGTGTTCGTTCTAAATTTCATTAAATCCGAGAAAAATCTTCTAGCCTTTATAAAGGCCTATCACAAGCAACCATATTTATGGAGGCGTCATCATACAGACCAAATACAACGAAGAAATTCTCCAATCTATTTACAGAAAATTGCCACAGAACTTCGGGAGCATCATCATCTTTCGCTCAATGTCAAAGAAGTTACAATGTTAATACGCCATGTAAGAGGACAGTATAGAATTCTTTTGAATCCCCGAACCATGGCAGGAGAGTACAAAGCAAAATCCACAAAAACTCTCACAACTCGTTGTGCCCGAGCCTTGGAATTTCTGCAACCGTTTATGGAAATATCTTCAATTAGCAGATTAAATGAAAAACACAGCAATCTATCGTCCCGCCAAATAGTACAACTTTTACGAATTTATCAACAATTTCCCAATCTTTGGAATACAAATCGTATTGAATATGTATGTCGGAATAAACGACAAGAATCACTGGTGGCAATGCAAAGGCAAATTAAATTGAAAATGGATTGGGCCACAACTCTATCTGATCTCAGACGTTATCTGTACGGCCTACACATACAATGTTCTCGAGAGAAAAGTTGTTCCGGTAAAATTTGTAAATATTATGAGCATATGGCATTTCTCGTAGATCATGTCGCCCCATTTAAATGTTCACTTTGCAAAAGGAAATTCAAAAGTCCATTTGTTTTGAAAATCCATCACAACGAACACGCTGGGGACCTCCACCTCCTGCCTCCACTGCAGTGTAATATTTGTCAAAAGAATTTTAACGATTTCAAACTCTACAAGTTACATGCCCAACGACATATGGACGATCTGCAGGAAGAATGTACAGTGTGTGGCAAACGTTTTGGCAAACCCTTTGAATTACGGAAACATCAACAGACCCATACAAATGAGACACCATTTTGTTGCGAGCTATGTGGTGTCGCCTATAGACACAATTCGTCGCTTATCGCCCACATGAGAAAACATCGCAGCGAGTTATGCTATAAATGCAATCGTTGTTCGAAGAGATTTCAATCGAATGTCCAGTTACACGAACACATGAAGACCCACCAGAGGAATACAATAACATATGACTGTGACATGTGTGAAAAATCGTTCAAGTCGAAGGAAACTTTGAATGCCCACAGAGCTTCACATTTAAGGAAAAATGAAAAATGTACCATTTGTGGAGAATTCTTCGGAGAATCTAGTCTAAGAAAACACATGCAAGGACATCTGGAGAATGGTGAGGTAGATGATAACATGGAGGGTGAAGATTTCATAATCACTATTGATAGCGAGAAGATCCATGGATTTTAAAACTAGATGTAGTCTTTGTAAGACTTAAGCCACATAATTTGTGTTACGAATAAAGTTCTTCGACAAGAATCAATTAATCCGAGAAGGGAGAAGACTTTGTCTCCAAATTTGAAAAGAGAAATTAGTAGGAGTTGTTGTTGTGGCAGCTCATACATCTGTGTTCGTTCGATTTCCATTTCAGTCTGGTTCTGCCCCTAAGTCCTGTCTCAAAAAGGATGCAACCTGTATGGGTTGTGTCCATAACGAGACTGGAGTTAGGTGAGTAGGATTGGCTGGACAGCGAAATAGGTGCAGCGTGTCATGTGCTAGGAGACCATCCCCCTTCTGTCGCAGCTGAAGAACGAGAGCTGCCCCCACAAACCCGAGTAGTTTTGGCTCAATTACGATCCGGATGGTGCAGCCGCCTAAATTCAGTAGTAGTAGTTGTTGTTGTTGTTGATCTGACTTTTCTCAATCGGATTCTGTCCAGTCCAGTCTCAAAAAGGATAGAACCTCTACAGGTTGGGTCCACGACGACACTGGAGTAGGTGAGTAGGTTTGGTTGAACAGCGAAAAAGGTGCAGCGTGTCAAGTGGTCCTGTGCCACAAGCTGGGCAGATGTTCTACACATCGCTGTCGATCCGGGCCCAATAATAATTGAGGCGACTGCACCATCCGGATCTTAGTTAAGCCAAAACTACTCGGGTTAATCGGGGCAGCTCTCGCTCTTCAGCTGCGATGAGAGGAGAATCCTAATACAATATTCACTCTATATCCTTCCATAACTTCTGAGACCGCGTTAGAGTGAATACTATTCAGTCCCGCTTGATAGGTCTGTTGATCTAGAGGCTCTCTCTTATGCCTTTGTACCTCTCTCTCTCTCTAGATCATGAAGGTCTTTCCTTACGTGCCTGGGCAAAGGTTGCCTATCCACCTAATGGTGATTCGGGTGGCTCTGTCGGTAACACCCAAGCAGGTATTGCATTGACAGCATTTTATTATACTGTCGCCCAGGTAAAACCTTCACCTCCTCATGTAGATGGTCAAGAGGTGTCATGAGAAGGCACCCTGTTGCAGTTCGAAGGGCGGCATTCTAGCAGTACTGAATATTTTTTTCCACAACGTAGCACTAACATTGGCGGACCACACCGGAGCCCATAGTTTACCACAGACGGGCCTATCGCAGAGAAAGAGGTCAACAAGGTTTCCTTATCAGCTATCCAAGTGCTGCTGGCAAGAGACTGGAGAACCTTGTTACTACTTCTAATCTTATCGCAGATAGCTGTGGTATGCGCGGAAGACTTGAAAAGGCTATCGACCCCTAAGACCTTGGGGTAGTTAGTGGTTGGAATTACAACTCCACAGTCCATGTGGTGAAAAGTGTGGCCGTCGATTTAGTGGCGAATATCTTCATATTCCTCGCAGTGAAAAAGGGGGTTATATCAACTAAGTAAGCATTTAACCGATCGCATGTCATCTATGATGGTTCCGGACGCCACGAGCGTACAATCATCTGCGTACGTTATTAGCTCTCTACCGTCTGGAGGGCGTGGAATGTCAGAAGGTAGAGGTTATACAGTTCCGGAGATAACACCCCATCTTGGGGAATTCCCTGTTTTACTCCACGGTAGCTCGACCTCTTGTTTCCGAATTACACGTACGACTGGCGTCCACACATATCAGTAGTAGTAGGTCCCGTATGCTACCAACCTATCCTTTCAGTTACACTCTCTATCATCTATACTGACCATGTGGTAAGTATTATTTATATTATTGGAGAAGGCTACACGTCTGACGAGATGGGGGAGAAAGTTTACATATATGCCATCGTTGAGCAAGAATACCCCCTTCTACATCGTGTGCGACATATATTTCTAGACCATTACGAATTTTATGAAGCATCATAGTTTTTTTTCCACGTCGAACTTTCACTTATCTTCCAAAGAAAAAAACACAAAATTTAAACTCAAGGTTTATATAAATAATGTTTATATATATATATATATTTTATACCTCTTCAGGTCTTTCATAACTCAGACTACCATGCGTCCTCATGTGCTGATTTAGGCCCACCTTTAATTTAAAACTTTTACCACACAACGTACACACATACTTCCGAATATCTTCATGTGTGACCAGATGTTGCTGCAGCGTCTTTTTCGTAATGAAAGCCTTGCCGCACGTTTCACAATTAAATTCACGTATTTGTTTATGCGATCGTATGTGATCATCCAGTTTGGCCTTGCAATAGAAACCCTTCGAACATGTCGGACAATGATGTAGGTACTTCTTCTCGTGACGCCTCTTGTGACCGGCAAATGTTTGAATATGTCGAAACGATGCCCCACAGATTTCACAGCAAAATGGTTTGGAACCTGTGTGAAAACGCATATGCACCTTCAGGTCATAGGAATTGATGAATTTTTTGCCACATTCCTGGCAAACCTCCTCCAAATCATCCATGTGTCGTCTGGCATGCAGGACATAGGTGCCAAGCACTTTAAATCCTTTGCTGCAGAGAGAACATTTGAGTGGCATTGTTCCATCATGTTGGGATTTATGAAGTTTGAAATTTAATGGATTCTTAAGTTCAGCATTGCATTCGCTGCATTTGAAGGGACCAACATGGTCATAAAGAAACTGGGCACGCTTATAGTATGGATGTTTGTTGTCGGCTTTCGAATCGCAATTTCTAATATCTAACCGTTTCTCTTTGGCATATTCATTGTGTATAAAATGTAAATATCCCCTTAATTTTTCCTCGTCAATATTCAAATTCATTTCCGAGTTAACTGCTTGCAACATTTGTTCAAACGATTCGTTGCGTTTATTTTTACAACAATTTTCTATTAAATTTGAATTCCAAAGATTGGGATACCGTTCATAGATATCCAATAACTGTGTTATTTGTTTATTTTTCAACTCACAATGCTGTGGTTTTAATTTAACTGAGGGTTTGGCGGATTCGTATGCCGGCCTTAAAAATTCTAATTCCTTTATAAACCATAATGGTTTTTGATCCTTTGATGATCTGTTCTGTGATCGTTTGTATTGAAGGTTCAAATGTTTGATAACTCTTTCAATTTGGACGGTCGTCATATCTATTTTGTATTTGTTTTGTAAAACATTTTTAATTTTTTCCCAATATTTTTCTTTTAATTTTACACTCAACTTTGGTGGCAATTTCGAGTTCCATAATTCGGGTTGTTCTTTATAGGATTCTATAAACAATTTTAAATTTTGCCTGGATTTTATGAAGTTCTGAACAAATGTGCCAGATGAGAGAGGACTATTGTCTTTCGAGTCCGCCGTTGACTAAAAATGAAAAATTTAAATAATTTTAAATGTTTAGCTCTATCAAATAGACTCCATACCTCTTTATCAAATTTTATAGACTCCATATCTATTTCGTCTGAATCAGTAAGAGGTTCTTCTTGATTTTCTTCCACTTCAGATTTATTTACATCTTCCACTGTGAGCTCTGTTGACTGTCCCTGTTTTAAAAATTGTTCTTCGTCATTTTCGGTCTCTGAGTCCGAACTCTTTCTGTTAGCAATTAAGTTCAATGGGTCCTGGAAATTAAAAACATATTTGGAGACCCCAGACATATTAAAACTGGCCTTAAGTTCGAAAATGTGTTTTTATGGCCGCCTAACGAAGTTAGAACTTTCTAACCATTCTAGCAAACACTTACCATGTCTTTATCTGATCTTCTGTCCTCAATGGCATCTTCAATATTTTCACAATTTTCTCTTTGAATATTAATTTGATAGTTTATTTCTGTTTTCTCATCGCATCCCTCCTCTTCCTCATTGCCCAAAGCATCACATTGGGCAATGCATGGGAGCATAATTGATTCTTCCTCCAGCTCAAAGTATTTATCATGATGACATTTCAAAATGTACTGATAGGTATCATTTTTCGCCTTCGGTGACCTCAGGATTTCACCAATTCGCATATACTCCACATAATCGTTCATTCTGATTGGTTAATTAATTATTAATTAATTAAATATATTTTTTATTTAAATTCAAAGGAACCCTAAGAGAACCAGGAAAAACAACAAATAAATGGGGAAGGGCTCTAAAAGATCAAAAATAGAATATAACAATAATATTTAATAAAAAAAACATTTGCTTGTTCACTGTTGTTAGTTGCCTGAACATACCCAATGCCGTGTTCTGTTGAAGGGAGGCGTATGTTAATTTGTTTTTTTTTTTACAACTGCTTGGACTAAACATACCACCTTTCAAAACAAAGTGGAATGAAATTTCTGTTGGATACAGTTTGTCAACTAAAGGTTTGTGAACCTCTTTTTATACCCTCCACCAAATATAGTATGAAGGGTATATTAAGTTCGTCATTCCGTTTGTAACTCATCGAAATAATAATTTTAACCCCAACAAAGTATAAGTGTTAAATTCTAAGACAATTTAGCCCTGTAAGTCCGTCCGTCTGTTGTAATCGAGCTACGGTCAAAACGAATTAAAATAGAAAGCTAAAATTTTGCACAGATCTGTCTTTTGTCTGCAGACAGGTCAAGTTGGTCTACGCTATCGTACAGCCCCCATATAACGGTATGGTATTTTTATGATTTTTGCCACATTTTTCAATGGAATTGTCTGAAATTGTACACAAGGAGTTCTTTATGAGTACTTTACCCCCTGACAGAGAATTCTCTATATAGGTCCACGATATTGTATAGCCCCCATATTTCCATTTTGATGATTATTGCGATGTTAATCACCGGAATTGTTCCAAATGTCGTATATAAAATTCGGAACAGTTACTATTGGGTGAGATGAAAAAGCTGCAACTAACTTCAGACTGCTATCATTCATAAGGAAGAAAACAGCAACATCAGCAGAAAAGGTTCGAAAAGTAAAGAAGCGACTTAATCGAAACCCGCGTCGCAGTGGACGAAAAATGGCTCATGAGCTGAGCATATTGCAATATTTCATTCGGCAAATATTGAAAAATGAGCTCGGGGTAAAGCCATTGAAATTCCAAAAAGTGCAAGAACTTACACCGCAACATAAAGAAAATAGACTCAAAGTATTCTGGAGGGTGTATTAAAGCCTTGGGCACGTAAACATTTGCCCGCAAACCTCGGACATTCCAACAGGACTCAGCGCGCGTCAGCCAAGAATGGTTACAAAATTAGGTTCCTCGATTCATTTCCAGTGCACAATGGCCAACAAAATCTCCGGATACCAATCCGTTGGACTATTGTGTCTGGAGTATTTTGGAACGAAAGGTTGTCACTAAAAAATATCAATTTGTCAATCACCTCAAGCAAGCGCATCGCCGGGAATGAGTCAAAATACCGCAGAGCAACATTTGGGCAGCGTGTGACGGTTTCATTGGTCGTTTGAAGGCCATAATTCATGTCAAAGGCGACCAATTTGAACAAATCTAAACTTATTCTAAAATGTAATGCTATTCCGAAATTGTTTGCTTTTATTTAATAAAACTTAAAAGAAAATGTAAAAATTATGGCGTTTTACTTTGTTGCAGTTTTTTTATCTCACCCTGCACAAATTTTATCTCCTATGACACAAATTACTCATGCAGGACCACGTCTTCGTATAGCTCCCATATAACGGTCTTCATTTGAGAGGTATTTTTGAACGGATTTTTTTTTTTTTTTTTTTTTTTTTGAAAAATTTTAAGTTTCTTCCAAATGGTGGAACTTAGCTGCTTTTTTACTTGTTATCGTTGAAACAATGTAATCTTCTTCTCTCTTGTTACGTATTTGTTAGATTAATGAAATATTTATTGATACTATTCATTAAAAATAAATGTAATATTAGTGCATAAATAATAAGACGGCTCATAATTAACCTTAGGGTTCGAACAGAATATCCAGTATTTGATCCACGGATTTTTTGTATTTCAAAAATACTGTTTTATTTCTTTTCTTCATTTTCAGCCATTTGCTTTCGATGCTTTACTGTATGTCGATACATATTATATTTACAACTAAACGTTTTTCCACAGATTTCACATTCAACTTTCGGGTTCCCTTTATGCCTGGCTAAATGATTGTTCAATGTGATATTCGTTTTAAAAGCTTGATTACACAAGTGGCAGATGAATTCTTTTGTTTCGTTATGAGTCTGCAAATGTTTATTGAGTACGGACTTTATGTGAAACCCCTTTGAACAAATAGGACATTTATGGCTGTAATTTTTGTCATGAATCAATTTGTGACGCCTAAAAGTACTTTTGTTTCGGAATGAAGAACCGCAGATGTTACAAACGAATGGTCTTTCATTCGTATGGGAGTGTCTCATGTGTTCCATCAAAGAGTTTTTATTCACGTAACCTTTACCACATTCTTTGCACTCAAAACTAAAATCTTTCATATGGCGTCGAATATGTTCAATGTAGGTGTTCTTTTCCGTAAACGGCTTCTGGCATAAGGAACACTTTAATGGTATGCTGCCATCATGTTTGGATCTGTGAATTTTTAAACTAAACGGATTACTAATCACTTTTTTACACTCAGAACACTCATAAGGTGCCACATAATCGCGGAGATATTGAATGTATTGGAAATATTTCGCTTCAGGATCCTCTCTACTAGGCATGCCTTGCAAACGTTTTTGTTTAGTGCAAAACAAGTGAACGTTGTTGAGATAAAATTTAAGTTCATTTATACCAACTTTCATAAGCATTTCACACTCTAAAATTTGCTGCATGTTTTCCAGGGCTTCCGTGCGTTTGTTGTTACAACAATATTCCATTAAGTCACTATTCCAAAGGCATGGAAATGTTTCATATATTCTCAGAATTTGTATAATCTGTTGAGAATTCAAATTATTGTTGCCGAATTCCGACAGAGAAATCATTCGAACGGGTACATGCAAAAATTCTAGGTGTTCAAAGAACCAGTCTGGTTCGATAATTTCACCCGTGGTCCATTTATATTTCAAACGCAAATAAGCTACTATGGCACTAGTCTGTTCTAGGGATAGTAGCACAGATGTTTCCATTTGGACCTCAGAAACAATTTGTTGCAAATATATTGGCCTTTGTTGGGGTTTAATATTTTTGATAAGTTCATTATCCCAGAGTTGGGGATTATTTTTTAAAGCCCTAATAAATGCCAAACCATTTGGTCTTGTATTCATGAAATCATTCACGAATTTGGAATAGCTTTCGATTTCAATTTCGCTAAGCTGAAAACATGATGAAGAGGAGTTTCTTTATTAATGATTTATTTAGAAAAAATATTCATTGATTACCTCTTCATCATTCTTTTCCCATTCGTTTTCATCCGGGTACTTGTTGTCCTCCCACGACATGTCATCAGCATCTATATTTTCCTCTTTAATTTGAATAGTTGTATTATTTAGGGGATCCTAAAGTAGAAAATTGATTAAAATAAAAACTTTATAATTAAGGAAAAATGTCTACGTCTTCACAAAAACGTCTTTTACGTTCACGGTGGGGTAATTAAATCATAATTTGAATACCTGATTAGCATTTGCACAAATTATCGCCTCCTTAACATCAACCGGCTCCATCTCCTCTAATTTTCCCAGCATATATGGATCTCTTCCATGAACATTATCATCCAAAGGCTCGTTTTTTACAATAGGTTCCAGATTGGGGCCATCGCCAGGTCTTGGACTCTCCCTTTTCGCCATAAACATATATTCTTGGTCATTATTAATATCCAGTGGGTCGGCAGCAGTGGTTTCATCCACAGTATGTATATCACGAACATTGCCATCAAAGAAGTGTTTATTCCGCCAGTGACCAATGAGCTCGAACAAGTCATCCAAATACTCATCACAATCATGACAGTTTAATATGTATTTATTTTCTTGATTTATCGAGGGTGACAAAAGGACTTGTCCACATTTTATGTAGTTACTATAATCGCCCATTTGCTTGGAATGTTATTTTCTGAAATAGTTTATGTTTTCATATATTTTCTAGAGGGTATGTTGGGTATGTTCAATGTTAGTTTGTTTATATTCCAGGAACCCTCATTAACACAACATATGGGTACGTTCAGTGAGAGTATGTCTAGGTTTTCAATTGATGAGTATGTTGAGTGTCATGTATACCCAATTTGTTGTAGGCTACTGCCAAGAAGTTTATTATGGGCATGGCTCAATAAGAAAGGTTGCTCAATTTGAAAGAAGCTAGAAAAATGCAACTCTGTGCTGGAGTCTTATGGTGTCAAATTTCAAAAACAAAATTCTTATATTGGCAAAAACCCGTGAATCAAGAATGGGATATCAGGGTTATCCCACAAGATTGAATCTAAAATAGTAGGACAATACAGTTTTTTTTACTAAATTGTAAAATTTGTAAAACATTGTCTTCAAAAATTTGCATTTATTTTGGAAACGAATTTGAAAGAATTTCAAGTTATTGTATTTTTTATTCAAAACAATACACAAAAGAAAAAAAATGTATTTGGGGCGTAGATTTGTTCTACCTTCTGTAATTATGCCGTGATTATGGGTAGGATTGTATCAGCCACAAAAGCAAAGTTACAAGAGTTATTTCAATTGAGTTCAAAGACAAATTAAAGTATAAACAAAAACTTCCACATTACAACGATCAAGTAGCTGAAATAAGAAAACTCAGACTTTTCGAAGACGACTTTTTCAAAATATTGTTGCATATTTTTATTTAAGGATGTAGTTTACGACTAAAAAGATTTGTATTAATAAATAGTTTAACTTTTTTATATATTTGCATTCAAAAATGGACGGCTGGCGAAGTAAATTTTAATATACAATACAGCACCCCACTTCGAAAAAGAGACGAACAGAAGAGATAGACAATGGGACCTGACTTAACACAACACTGATCTTGTTTTAGTAAATGTATGTTTCCACATTTTTCTTCCCCCTGCCGACTTTTGTCAGGGAAGTTTTACATCAAAATACTAAGAAGTTAATAATTTCACACTAGACTCGTATTTATTCAAATCAAAATCTAACATTGAAATAATATTATTCCATATTAATTCTGATATTTTTCACGACTCCAAACAAAAATGTCTTACAGAAAGTAGTTTTATTGATAATATGAAAAACGTTTCAAATTCGCATTAAATTTTGTTATTGATAACAAATTTTGCAAAAAGATCAAAAATCTATTAACGCTATATGATAATTTAAAACACAAAATAACCTTCTCATCCACTTAGACAATATTTTCTTGCGGTTCCTTTCTTCTGTGCGTTTTCATGTGATGATAGATACCAAGGCGATTTTTAAACAATTTGCCACACAGCTCACATGGATGCTTAAGTTCCGTTTCATGTGTCATAGTATGAGCTTTTAATGTACTTTTCGTTTTAAAACCTTTGCCACATATTTTACATATTCGATCACGCACTTCTTTGTGAATATCCATGTGGTTGTTGAGTGCATCCTTTGAAAAAAATTGCCTCGGACATACAGAGCAACTGTAGCAATATTCCTTATTGTGGCGCCTGGTGTGCAAGACAAAGGCATTGTTATGGCGAAACGATGCGCCACAAATTTCACAGCAATACGGTTTGATGCCTGTATGGATACGCATATGCTCTCTCAAATCAGCATCTCTCATAAATCGTTTACCACATTCCTTACATTCCACTGATAAATCATCCATGTGTCGCCTGCAATGTCGTATATAGGCCTCCGCATTGTTATAAGGCTTTCCACATATTTTACATTCTATACCTTCTCCACCGTTATGACCGTTTATATGGATTTTGAACGCTATCGCATACCCAGATTTTTTGTGGCACTGTTCACACTCAAAGGGTCCCACGTGATCGCATAGATATTGCATGTGAAAATAATATTCGGAAACCTTATCGTGCTTGGATTTTTTCTTTGACAAAATTTTCGTTTTCGTACAAAACGTGTTTATATCATGGATATACCTCCGAAGATCACTTATTTCCGTTTTCAATTTCATCTTGGCTTGAAGGACTCTCTGCATTTCTTGCAAAGCCTCATCACGTTTATTGTTGCAAACGTATTCAACTAAATCGGTATTCCACAGATGTGGAAGTTTTTCATATATTCGGAGTATTTGTATGATTTGAGCCCTCTTCAGAATGTAGGAACCCAGTTCATCGATTGTAGCCGAGTAAGGGGATGGTAAAAATTTTAAATGCTCAACAAACCATTCTGGTTCAGGTTTATTTGGATTATCAGCTCTCTTCAATGCAATTCTTTGTCTTGAACGTAAATAGGTAATGGTTTCACGTATTTGATCCAGGGTTAATTTCACATTAACTTTCTCTTCAACTTCTTTGGCAATTTCTTCCAGATATTTTATTCTTTGTTGTGTCGAAAGTTGATTGCTAACTCCAATTTCCCATAGATTCTTTTGTTTTTTATATGCTTCTATAAATGTAGAGACGTTTCTTTTCGAATTAAAAAATCCATGTATAAATTTATTTCCTCTTGCAGCATTGCGTTTCCTTTTACCCGTACTTTCCTGCAAAATAAAGGGAATTGGTAAACAAAAATTAAGTCAGTTACGGATAAGTCTCCCAATTACCTCATCTTCGTTTTCCTCCTCTAGGGGATTTGATTCAGGCTGAACATCTTCTTCAGTAGAATGATCACTGTCAATTTCGTTACTATCATCGCGATAATCATCCGTATCTTCTAGTTTTTCACTTTCTGAATCATTTTCTATGACCGATTTTTCATCTTTGGGTTTTCTATCTTCATACTCACTACTCTCAATAAAAAACTCTACATCGTCTAGGTAAGGCGTGCTTTCCTCTTCCATGTCCACATCGTTTTGGCATTCAATTAGGTACTCTACTTCAGTTTTCGAAATGGGTTCCTATTTATTGAGAATATATTAGATTTTAATTCAAAATTTGCCTAATCCTGTCTCAGGCGAAGAACTTTTCACTATTAATTGATCTGTTCCAGAACTGCAAGAATGTAAAAGTTTCTACTGCCATAACCGATTTCCCCTCTATGATATCGAAGAAAATTGCAAAACTAGTAGATTCGTGCAAGTACTGGAACAGAGAAAATATTTATTTATCTTAAACATATACAATGTTGTGTGAAGAAATCTTGTCATTCACAAACAATCGACCCTATGCAAACAAATGCTAACACAATGTTTGTACGAGGGCTACATATATTACCTCCAATTCCTCCTTGATGACTTCATTTGCGATTGATTTTTCTAACTCATGGAATGTTTGTTCATCCTCATTTGCTGGATCATGTTCTTCTTTGTAAATTTCCTCCACCTCAAATTCCGATTCATTAAAATCTTCCACTTCATAATGACTTTGCCAGTGTGGAATGAAACGTTGCAGATCGCAATAATATTGGTCACAATCGCCGCATTTCAATATAAACTGATCTTTGTCGGTTAGTGAAGGTGATAATAAGACTTCACCACATTTAATATATTCATCGTAATCCGGCATTTCAGCAGTATATTAAGATCCTTTTAATATTAAGTTCCTACTAACAAAATTTTGTGTAATTTCCTACAGCTCGAGGTAAACACCAAGGTATGCTTAGGTCGACTTTTGACTTATTGTCTTGTGAAAGAAAAAAAGGATTGACAATTCAGGCAGATGTATAAGGTAGTCGTATCAATTCTTATGAATGAATAATTAGGGAAAATATGCAAATTGTTTATAATTGATAGTAAATGTAAATACAGGTAGATGCATCAACGCTTGGGAGCATTGATATGTCAAAAAAATTTTAATGTTTTTTTTAAACTACGTCATTCGGACGCTATTATAATTCGCGTTTTTCAAAATTTTTTACAAATTTAAATATATATTCTTCTACCATGATAAATACCTTGCCAGTTTCAAAGGCTAAAGTTGAGTTTAAGGGCTATGGTCGGATTGACTTGAAATTTTTATCATAGGGGGGTATTTTTTAACCTGATTTTAACTATGGATCGCCTAGCTAGTGTTAAACATATCCCAGAGGAAATCTCATATTTTTTTAAAGGATTCAAAAAGATCAAGTAGAGTATTTATGCCTCTATTAAGCTGGGAATACATAAAGCGCTTATTTGGCGGGCTTAAGTCATCGGCTGGCTTCTTCGGAAATGAACAAAGGAGCCTAGGGCCAAAATCGAACTAGGTCAACCTAAAACTCCTTTGTTCATCTACGAAGAAGCCAGCCGATGACTTTAGCCAGCCAAATATGCGCTTTATGTATTTCCAGCCTTACAGCTTTTTTACTTGTTCAATTTTGATTCGTTTTATTTTTCCGAAAACCCAAAATCATACAATCCTTTGCATGCCTACTTAGTTAAACATATCCCAGAGGAAATCTCATATTTTTTTAAGGATTCAAAAAGATCAAGTAGAGTATTTATGCCGCTATCGGCGGATGTAGATTTCTGTAAGGTCGTGCAGTGAGTTCGAATTGAACTCAATGTCTGACGCATTACTTGTCAAAGTGTCGGGCGGAATTTGTACTAGTGCTTTGACTTCACATAATTCAGCTGGTATGGAAATGCTGTATTTTTTACGGTTTTCATCATCAGCAACAATCTGATTTACAGGGTGAAATAAAAAACACTGCAACAAAGTCAAACGCCATAATTTTTATTTTTTTTAATTTTATTGAATGAAAAAAAAATCGGAAATAGCATCAAATTTTAGAATAAGTTTAGTTTTGTTCGAATTGGTCACCTTTGGCACGAATTATGGCCTTCAAACGGCCAATGAAACCGTCACACGTTGCTCGAATGTTGCTCTTTTTTCGGTATTTTGGCCCATTCCCGGCGAAGCGCTTGCTTGAGGTGATCGACACTTTGGTATTTTTTAGTGCCAATCATACTTTCCAAAATACTCCGGATTTCCGACGGATTGGTATCCGGAGATTTTGGTGGCCATTGTTCGCTGGTAATGAAGCGAGGATCCTCATTTTGTAACCATTCTTGGGTGCCGCGTGCTGAGTGCAATGGTGCTGAGTCCTGTTGGAATATCCAAGGTCTGCGGCCAAAATGTTTGCGTGCCCAAGGCTTTAATACACCCTCCAGAATATTTTCGCGATAATACTCGGCATTAATTCTGACATGTATACATTAATTCTGATGGTGAGTTCTGGTGGTCAACCACTGCGAAGGTGCACATTTTCAGCTGGCCTCTTTGGCAAGTAAACACGATCACTTTTAATGTTTACAAACTGCTGGACAACGAATGTTTTCTCATCGAAGAAAACAAATTCGGCAGTTCACCATTTTCGACCAAGCAAAGCAACTCTTTAGCGTCGGGATACGCTACCAGTATCACGGTAGCGAGCGATGGCACAAAAAATGTATTCATATTTAAATGCAGCAGCGCTCTAACGATAGCCACTTGTAATTTTCCAGCCAAATATAAATAAGTCACACTATCATGCTTAAATTCCATCACGAATAACTTTTTTCTGGAAAATTCTCACCAAAATAATTGTAAACAATATAATGAGCTGTCACTGGAATAATTTTAACAGCTGTCGGACGAGTGGCTTAGAAATGGCAGCAATCTGAAGTTGGTTGCCCTCACCCTGTATATTTTTTGACATTACCAAGGCAGGTTTTTTCTATACCCTGACCTGGAAATGATTGTACCATGGTATGACGCACATACCCTATTCTCAAGCACAAGCCTTATACCCGCTGACCATCATTGAGTTATAAGCTAGTTCCAAATTTATATGGACTTGTGTTAAAAGCATATTCCATGTTTAGGCTGTATTTCTTTTGAACCCATGGGAAAGAACCATTACAATAATGAAATCAAATATTTTGCTTTTCCATTCAATTTTATTTTTATTTAGTTATATTAATAAAACTTATATTTTTTATTTTTGTTCTTAGTGATGTAGGCCCTAATAAAACTATTAGAACGACAAAATACCAATAATCGCCTGGTCACATTGCAAAGTCGAAGAACAAGTGTCATTTGCCCCCTACATCTCCCCTTTATTTTCGAAAATTTATAAAAATGCTTTGTACTACCAATATGACTGGGCTTTAGTTATCTTGTGGTTCCTTTCTGCGATGAGTTTTCATATGATGATATATACCCAGTCGATTTTTAAACAATTTTCCACACAATTCGCATGGATGCTTCAACTCTGTTTCATGCGTCAATGTATGAGATTTTAATGTACTTTTTGTCTTAAATCCCTTGCCACATATTTTGCAAATACGTTTACGCTCTTCTCCATGGATATCCATATGATTGGTGAGTTCGTTCTTTGAATAGAATTGTCTGGGGCACAAGGAACAACTGTAGCAATATAATTTCTTGTGACGTCTGGTGTGCAACAACAAGGCATTACTATGCCGAAATGATGTTCCGCAAATTTCACAGCAATATGGTTTAACTCCGGTATGAGTACGCATATGAAGTCTCATATCAGCTTCTCTTATGAAACGTTTGCCACATTCTGTACATTCCACCGGCAAGTCATCCATATGACGCCTGCAGTGCTGTATATAGGGCTCCAACGTGTTATAGACCTTTCCACAAATTTTACAGTCTATACTGTCAACACCACCGTCATGACTATTAAGATGCATTTTGAACTTCAAAGGATGCACAACTTTCTTGTTACACAAATCACATGCAAATGGTGATACATGGTCACGTAGATATTTCATATCATCATAATACTCGGAAATTTTGTCTGGATCGACATTTTTCATTTCCATACGTTTTTCTCGACTGCAAAACATGTTTATGTCATTAACATATCTCTTCACATCGATCATTTCTGTTGTTATTTTCATTTTAGTTTGTATTACATTCTGCATTTGTTGCAGGGCCTCATCGCGTTTGTTGTTACATACGTATTCGACTAAATTTGTATTCCACAAAAACGGAAATTGTTTATATATGGCCAGAAGTTGTATAATTTGCGATCTTCTCAAAGTGTGGGGACCCAGTTTATCGATGGTGGCATTATAACTGGACGTTCTCAAAAAACTCAAATGCGGAACGTACCATTCTGCCTTATTTGCATTCATTGCTGCAATTCTATGCTTTGACCGTAGGTACGCTATAATATCGCGTATTTGATCCAATGTTAATTTCAAAGCAATTTTACTCTCAAAATCCCTGGCGATTTCTTCAAGATGTTTGATTCTTTGTTGTGTCGTAAGTTGTGCACTAACTCCAATTTCCCAAAGATTTTTTTGATTTTTATATAGATCTATGAATGTTAGAACATTTTTCTTAGTATTGAAAAATTCACGTATAAATTTATATCCCCTAGAAGATTTGTAGTTTATTTTGAATTTATTATCCTGGAAAACCAAAGAAAAATAATCTCAATATGTCCATTGAAGGGTCAATGTAATATGTATGCTACCTTGTTTTCCGGGGAAGAAGTATCCTGTCGATCATGGTCGTCAGTGTGATATGCCTCTTCACTATTACCATCATTGCTGTTTTCATAGTTTTCATCAATGTCTTCATCGTCATCGTTGTTTTCTTGGTTTTCATTTTCTGCTTCGTCTTCCGAAATTGCAGGTTTCTCCTCTTCAGCATATATATTTTCAATTCCATCACTCTCGATGAATATATGTATTTCTTGGTCAGTGTATTCAGGTTTTTCATCTTCAAGATCTAAATCATTATTACATTCAATTATGTACTGTTCGCTTGGCTCTGTTATGACGTCCTAGAAATTTTAAAAAAAATGTTAATTGTTTACGTCCATTAAGTATAAAATCTTATCACCTCCATACAACACACCCTTTACACAAACAAATGCTATGCTTACACATTGTTTGCACAGAGTATTAGTTTACCTCAAGTTCATCTACGCCAGATTCTTTTTCGTGTTTGATTTCTGTTTTGATGGTCAGTGTCTTCAGTTTCATCTTTTTTTCTTCCTGCAGCTCCTCTTCCTGCGTTTCGTCCATATCCATTTCCAAATCCGATTCATAGCTATCATTGTAATGTCTTTGCCAGTGAGGAATGAAAAGTTGCAAATCACAATAATATTTCTCACAATCACTGCATTTTAATAGAAATTGATCCTTGTCATGTATTGAGGGTGATAGCAAGATTTCGCCGCATTTAATATAATCATCAAAGTCGCACATTTTCACTAGTTTGGAAACGTTTTTAATATGAAGTTCAGACCGATACAATTTTATTGTTGACCAAATGCTCTTCTGGCTGAAAGTAGGGATAATTAGGTCGTTTTGTCGCTAGTCGTCTGATCGACTTGTACTTTTAGTAAATAATCAATTTATCGATTTATAATCGTTTTTGCAATCAATTTCAAGCTTCCACCTTTTTCAAATATGAAAATAATTTTGTATTTCCCTATTTCTTCTGTTTCAATAATTAAAGGCCGTTTAAAGCAAAAGACAACCGCCGAAAAAACTGAAATTGTTAAATGACCTCTATTTGCACCTAAACTTCATAATATATCTCATCTACTAGATTTTCATAATAAAAAAATATTCCCTAAATATTTTCGACTTATCAGGTAAGTCAATCGCCTTATTCCAAGTATCTAATCCGGTTAAAAAACTAGATAGCTTAATCTGGCAGCTACACCGAAACGTGAACATAAATTTATATTTTTGTTTTTTATATCATTTATTTTTATCTGATGACTTTGTTGAAAGAAAATTAGGATAACCATTATTTTGTTTCAGAGCCTGCAAAAATCTACTAGTACCACAATTTTCTTAGATATCAGAGCAGAAATCAATTATCGTAGTATAAACTTTTAAATTCTTGCAGCTCTGGAAGAGACCACGTATCTTAAATTTTATAAATAAAAAACGTGCGCTCTTTAATAAATAATTGTTTAATTAAATTAAAATACTTAATCATAATTATACCGCCCCTTACGACTATCCTTTTTCGTTAGTTTCGCTATTGCATCATAGTCCGCATGCTGTTTGCGATGGGCTCTCAAGCCGGCATCTTGAGCAAATGCTTTGCCACACACCAAACATTTGTAACGTTTCGTATCCGAGTGTATTTGTTGATGGCGCAATAGATGTTTCTTAGCGGTAAAGCCCTTCCCACAAACATTACACAAAATATCACGTATATTTAAATGGGCCTTGACATGAGCGTTTAGAGCATGTAAATGATTAAAGCCATATTTACAGATGTGACACTCATAACGAAAACGTTTTTCATGGCGACGTATGTGATTATCATAACCATGGCGGGAACGAAAACTGGCACCACATATCTCACAGAGATAAGGTTCTTCGCCGGTGTGTTCTCTCACATGCCAATCCAGCTCAGCCCTGAATGGATAACCCTTTCCGCAGACATCACAATGATAGTTGTTTATGCGCAAATGTCGCTTGGCATGCACAATGTATTTGACTAATTTATTAAAACGCATCTCACAGAGAGCGCATTTAAACGGCACCTGCTTCGTATGTTCAGCCAAATGAATGTGGTAAGGTTCATATTTCGCAATAGTTTGTCCGCAATGTGAACATTTGAATGGACCCTGGCTCTCGCTTAAGAACGACAAATCTTTGTAATATTTAGACGATGGCACAAATTCTTTATTTTCCGCTTCACATTTCAATTGTTGTTCCTTGTCGGCGGAATATATGCGATTGATGTAATCAATACGTCTTTGCATGTCCTGCAAACTAATATCAATGTTATGTTTCTCCTTTAAATCTTGGATAATGGGTTTTAGCGCTTCCAACTTTTTAGGTTTAACCACGAAACCAATATTGTTCACCTGCCATAGGACTTCACATTGTTTGTAGTATTCTATAATAATTGGTATATGAGATTCTTCCAATGAACTCTGCAATAATTAAAGTGTGATTTAGGAGCATAGATAGATATTAATAATTACACCGCTTTACTTACTAGTCGTCTATATTTCTTCTTTTGATACTGCAAAAGAAAAAAAAGAAGATAGGTTACTTAAGATTGTGCTAGATATTATTATTAATTTATTATGAATACTTACACGATGTTTTATAAGAACTTCAATATTTTCCTTTAAAAATTTCATATGTTCCGTATACCAGGGCAATTCACATTTTTCACCTTTCAATTGTTTATCATATTCCCGTGAGTATTCATAACGTATGTCCGTAATGCGTTTTCGAATATCTTCCCATTTCATTTGTAGCTGCAGTTTCTCGTTTACTTCTTTGGCGATTTCTTGAAATCCGTTTTGACGTATAATTTTATCATGAGAACGATTATTGATGTCCCACAATACAGGTCGCTTTTCCAATGCAGCTAGTACTGTTAAAGTGAGTTCCTTTTCATCGACCGGGGGATTGTTGTTAGATTTCTTGGTTCGTTTTCTTCCCACTTTGCCTTTTTGTTTTTCTTTGACCATCTGAAAATAAAACAAACCGTTATTTGCATAAAATTGATGACACGAACAATTTTAAAACTTACATTAAAATCCATATCTCGAGAATCGTCTGTATCATATTCAGATTCACTTTCGTGCGCCTGCCGAAAAGGACCTGTCACATAAGTAAACTAAAATTCCAAATCAATCTGCTTACCCGTAAAGGCTTCCGTTTCCGTAATTTATTTTTCGCTTTATCTGCCTTCTTTTCACTCTGGTCACTTTCAGAACCACCCGAATCTCCAACACTATCCTCATAATCAAATTCACAACTGAATTCATAGTTATTGTCAGCATCCTCAGTGTCATCGTCGCTTTCATGCTCCCCTTTAACATTTTTTATATCTGTACCTGTGGAACTTCTTCTTATGCTGTTACCCTGAAATCTTGTGGTAATTTTATCGGTTGTTTCCAATGGATCTGCACTTTCATCTTCATTTTTTGTTAGCGATGCATTGTTTGTTTGCTTAAAGTCATCTTCATCTTCTTCATTGGCAATGTCCATTAGTTCCTCTACCTTGATTTCTGGCACAAATATCTCTAAATTCTCCTTAATATCTTCAATTTTTGGAGGCGTTTCATTTGGCTCGAGGATTATATCTTGTTTGCTTTCATGTTTTTTATCAGGAGTCACCTCCGATACCAGATCTGTATCGTTGTCATAAAACTTGGAATGTTTTTCTTCTAAATGGAGTGAGAACTTTTTCAACTGGTCACAATTTTCCTCGCAAAGTGCACAGCTAAATATGTACACTCTGGATTTTTTGTTTGTCTTCAGACTGAGCAAAATTTCTCCACATTTTTTCGTTATTGCCCTCTTGTTTGCGCCCATTTTTAAATAAAAATTGCACTTGGTTTTAATATTTTAATAACACATAGCAAGAGAATGTTTATTTGTTTGCCTTTTTCAGCCAAAAAATTGTTTATATTAGTGAAGGGGTATGTTCAGTGTGACAAGTATGTATAAGGCCTGTACGGTAACTTTTCCATTAAAAATAACTCTGTTTAATTTAGAATTGCATAAAATATTGTTATTTATTGACCCCTAGTTTGGTCCTTAATTAGTCGTTAAAATGTACGCGCTACGGTTTATTGCAACCTTGTGCTAGCGCCTTTGACATTTTAACTACTAATTATTTGTCACTTGTTTTGCCGCCTCCTTTAGACATCAAGCAGTATTTCGCTGTCATTCGGACAGACAACACCCGCAATATCGTTTGCAAAGCACATATCGTTGTGTGTAGAAAGGCATATTGTTGCCACAGGTAATATTGTTACCACCCACCAAACTAGCAATAAATAGTTGTATATATTAAGAAAAACTATTGTGTTTTATTTCTTTTTATATTACCCCCCTACGGTCCACTGCTCGACGCAATCGGCGTATTCACTCCCATCGGCGGAGCCCCTCTGAGCTAAACAAACTCGATTGACATTCTGTCATAAAATGCTAATTTTCCACAAAATATATGCATCACAGTTTTATTGGCAAGCCAAATATAATGGGAAAATCCGAAAAATAATTCAAGTATGAAACTGAATAAAGAAAATATCAGAAATTCCGTTAAAAGTTAATTGTACAGGGTTAGATGAAAAAACTGCAACCAAGTTCAGGCTGTTTCATTTCTAAGCCATTCGTCCGACATCTGTTAAAATTATTCCAGTGACAGCCCATTATATTATTTACAAGCGTACAAAAGCATTTTGGTTAGAATTTTTAGAAAAAAGTTAATCGTGATGGAATTCAAGCGTGATAGTGTGATTTCTTGATATTTGGCTGGAAACCACAAGCACTCCAGTATTTAAATTTGAATCTTTTGTGTCTTGTACCATCGCTCATTACCGTGATACAGGCAGCGTAGCCCGACGTCAAGGAAGTGGATAGAAGAAAACAGATAGAAGAAAACAGAAGCGACATGATGGAAACCCGCGTCGCACTGGTCCAAAAAATGGCTCGTGAGCTGAACATATCGCAATATTCCATTCGGCAAATATTGAAACATAAGCTCGGAGTAAAGCCATTGCCATTGAAATTCCAAAAAGTGCAAGAACTTACACCGCATCGGAAAGAAAATAGACTAAAAAAAGCTAAAGAGTTGCTTCGCTTGTCCGAAAGTGGTGAACTTCCGAATTTGGTTTTCTCCGATGGGAAAACATTCGCTGTCCAGCAGTTTGTAAACAAACAAAATGATCGCGTTTACTTGCCAAAGAGGTCAGCTGAAAATGTGCACCTGGTGATGGTGTGGGCCGCCATAATTGCCGATGGTCGCTCTCCGCTCGTATTAATCGACCGTGGCATCATAATAAATGCCGAATATTATCGGGAAAATATTAGTTGTGTTCCAGTACTTTTTTAGTAGTAAAACTAGCAGAAGAGAGAACAGTTCGAAATTTCATTCTCATTTAGGTTTGCTCAAAAAATAAGGGAACGGAAAATTAGCAGAAATGCGATAAAATGTCAAAATTTCAAAAGTAAGCAGCCTAAAACGGACTGGTGAAACCTTACTGAAAAGAGCGCCAACATTTAAAAAATGAGTATTGAAGACGATAAGTTAAAATTAATAATTTATAATAATAATTAATAATCTGATTCCTCATTCAGCCAGTCCTCTTCACTGCTGGAATCATCCAAAAGTGAATACATCAGTTGCTCCATATTTTCTCTTTTTGTTTTTTGCACGACAAATATTAGTTTTTCCTTTAGTTTTCAAATTGATCATTTTCTTTATTGAAATGTATCAATACATTTTTCAACCTTGTTAGCCCTGCCAATTAAATGTCAAATTTACAATATGCACATTTCTGCTCAGCCAAATTCATGTAGCTAAAACAAGCAGAAATGTGCACCACTCAGCGCCATTTTTTTCTCGAGAGAGCTGCAAGTTTTGCTAGTTTTTGGAGTACGGGAACGCGTTGTAGCAGAATTAGTGCTAATTAGTACTAATTTGCAGGTTCTGGAACACAACTATTCTGGAGAGCGTATTAAAGCCTTGGGTACGCAAACTTTTTGGCCGCAGACCTTGTGTCTGGAGTATTTTGGAAAGCAAGGTTGGCGTTAAAAAATACCAAAGGGTCGATCGCCACAAGCAAGCGCTTCACCGGGAATGGACCAAAATACCGCATAGTAACATTCGGGTAGCGTGTGACGGTTTCATTGGCCGTTTGAAGCCCAAAATTCGTGCCAAAGGTGACCAATTCGAACAAATCTAAACTTAAAATTGGATGCTATTTCCGACATTTTTTGCTTCCTTTAATAAATTTAGAAAAAAATTAAAAATTATGGAATTTGACTTTTTTGCAGTTTTTTTATCTCACCATGTAGTTAAAAGTAAAGATTAAATAATAAAGTAAAGAATAGTGAAATCGGCCCAAATTTGTATAGCACGGGCCAAGCAGAGCCCTTGGCAGAATTGTGGATGAACCAGTCGATTCTGAAAGGATATGACGTTCCATATGATATTTCGTACTCTGCCATGAAATCCAAACCGGTATGGTGAATACAAGTAAAAGAGTGTATAGGTAGCACAATGCCAGTAATAGGTCTAATGGTTACTGCTTGTAATATCTTTAAGTAAAAATTCAAAGATTTGGAAAACTAAGTTAAAAGAGGTAAAGATGGCTGAGAGCAAGCGAAGTAGTTTTGTTGCAATACTCTCAAAAATGCCAACATAAATTTGCCGGTTTGCAATTTAAATCAGTTGATTGAACATACCCATCCCTATGAAAATAGGAGGGAATTTGTTATACATTTTACCTTCCACTACTTCCATCCAAATCACCCAAGGTTGTTGCTTTTACACCTGAATATTGGTCTTATGTTATTAGATAAACAGTAAACTCCCTCAAAAAAATCAAACTCATACAAATAAAATTATGATAATAAATTATATTTATTTTGCTCCTTTTGTATACTACTAATACCAATCGGTGTGCCATGATATTTCTTATGCGCCCTAAGGCCTGCATCTTGGGCAAACCCCTTCCCACAAATATTACAAATATAATTCTTACCTTCGTGGATTCGTTTATGATGGTTCAAATATTTGCGACTGGTGAAACCTTTGCCACAAACGGCACAAATTACATCGCGTACATTTAAATGAGCCTTGACGTGATCATTCATACGTGTCAAATGATTAAAACCCTTCTTGCAAATATGGCAGGAATATTTAAATCTTTCTTCGTGACGTCGTATGTGATTGTCATAGCTAATGGCTGTACGAAAACTTTCACCGCAAATGGAGCACAAGTATGGTTGGGCGCCGGTATGAGAACGCATATGCAAATCAAGTTCAGCATTAAAGGGATATCCTTTGCCACAGACTTTACAAAAGAATTTAAATACCCCCAAGTGCCTTTTGGCATGAATTGTAAAATTTGCAATTTTCTTAAAACCCATGCCACACTCTTGGCACTTGAATGGAGGGGAGCCATCGTGATTTGATCTATGAATTTGCAGGTCATTATAAGTGTCAATAATTTCCTTACAGGTTGGACAGCGAAAGGGACCTTGATTTACATCTAGAAAATCACATTTATCATAATAGCTGCAGGAGGGTAGGAATTCGCTCTCAGTCTTTTCACACTCCAAACGTTTTAGTTTTTCCCTAGAATATGATTTATGCAAATGAACTAAATGTTTTTCAAGTTTATAAATGTCCATGGTTAGATTCATTTTTGTTCTGATTTCTTCCGTCATGGTTTTCAGGGTCTCATGTCGTTTATCCTTAATAGTGAAGGCCATATGGTTGACATCCCACAAGCTGTTGTAGTTTTTGTAAATTTTAATTAAGTCTTCCATTAGCTTGTCACTCAAGGGTTTCTGAAAGATGTAAGTGGGCATTTTAATTTTATTACAAAAACATTACTAAACCATAAACATACCACTTTTTGATGATACCTTTTCTGTAAAAAAAATAAAAAAATATTAATTTAATGACATTTTTTGATTTGCCACTTTTATACTTACCCTTTTAAGTTTCACTTTGTTTTCAATTAGGGGTTTTAAAAATTCCATGTTATCATGGAACCAAAGCTGTGTTTTTTCGCCCCTACTTTTGCCGTATATTTTCTTCTCAACTTCCTTTTCGTATTCCTTACAAATTCCATTTAATTTCTTTTTCACTTGTTCCAAGGTTTGGGTTTCCTTAAATTGTAGGTTAATACTATCGGTAATGTTTTTAAACAGCTCATCTTTTTCCTTGAGACTATTGCACTTTTGAGGATGTGTTGAATCCCACAATTGGGGCGTAGTTTTAAAAGCATCTATTAATGCAACAACAAACTCCTTATCTTCTTCTTCTTCTTCTTGTGAGTGTTGATTTTTATTTTTTGTTCGATTTGTTGTTTTAACTTCATCATCACCTTCACTGTCATCATCGGGTTCGGTGGATGAGAAGTTTTCATCAGCACTCAGGTCGGAATTTATAACCTACCCATAAAAACAAATATTGATATTGGAACAAAATCCTTACTATTTTATCCAGCTTACATTATCATCTGAAAACCCATGCATTTCAATATCATTCTTGTCATAGTCTATTTCATTTTCCCAAGATTGGGGTGACAGTGATATTTTATCATCCGGAGGTATTTTACTATTCTGATTTTTCTCGTAAGGCGTCAGAGTAATCTCTTCGATGTTGCCATCATTCGTCTTTAGTGGATCATCATAACTTGGAAGATTTTCAATCTAAGAAAAAAAATAGTCAACCATTTAGTTATCGTAATATGGACACACCTATGTACATACATACCTTCTTTGAACTCCTTTCTGACACATTTAACTCTTCCTCGTCGCTCTCCAATTTTACATCAACCAGACAGTCTTCTACTTTTATTTCTGTTGTTAGATATAAACTATCTGTCCCTGTTGTGGTTTCTTTCTTATGGAATTCTTCTGTCACCAGCCCAGTGGCATTGATCTGTTTTTCATGCTCCTTTTCCAGATGCAATGTAAACTTTTTCATTTGTATACATATGGTATCACAAAATGAACAATTGAAGGAATACACATATTTGGCGTTCTTTTTCATGGTAATCATGATTTCTCCACATTTTTTATTTATCATTTCGCTATTTAAATCGCCTGAAGAAGGCATATTCCACTTAGAAAAGTGCTGGTGCTGAGCTGCCCCCGTTCATCTAAAATTTGTTTATATTTTTCAAGAGGTATGTTCAGTTAAGTTCTTATTTTGGAGTTCATTTTGTCCGTTAGTAGATGACGTAACGTGAGAGTGAGTATTATGCATGTAAAGGGCCTTGTCTTTAACTTATCCCTTTATTGTTAAGAACTTATTGTCTTCATTGTTCATTGTACCATGCTTCCACCCACATTGCATTCTGGAGTGTTTCTATTTCGTTTCCTAACTACTTAATAGTCATTTTTCATTCTTATTCTTTATGCACATACAAGATACAATTGTATTGGAAACAGTAAGCCTTCCCTGCTAAAACCAAAAAAATACTACTTATTACTTACTTACTACACTACTAATGTAGGGCATGATTTCCAAGTTGGAAAAATATAACTCCGAAGCTAGAGCAAAAAGTCGCTTTTAATTTAAATTATTCATTCACATTTTCTGGGCCCAGAAATTATAACATTGTAGATTGGACCCCACGTCGACTACGTCGGTACAATAATAGATTTTTTCTATAAAGATATCAAAAAAAAAATGTATATTCTAGTAGGTTTTGGAACAAAGTATAACACTGCCTTTACACGGTGCAATTTTTAGCTGGCATTTTTATCAATTCTCTTTTAAAATTTCTGCGTAAATCTTCGCGCCTTTACACGGTGGCATTTTACGACAATAGTGCTTGGCATTTTTTTCGTATAGAGCTAATTGTTTGTAACAGATATGTATAAAGAAGTGATTTAAAATTAAATGTGTGAATCTAAAGAAGAAATGATGGAAAAAGTTATTGAGGTGTTAAATATTGCATTATTAACTTTTATTTTAACTTTCTTTTTTTACTTCCAATTAATTTTCATATAATTCACTATACAATTCAATCACTAAAAACATCACATCACAATAAAAGAAACGCATCAAAAATTACAATAAAGAAACGATGTGAAATGTCAAAATCATAAAAAATTCGGAAGAAGCAAAAGGAGAAATGCAAAGAAAATTGCATGTAACCCTGTGCGGTGGCTTATCGTGCCATTTTTTCTTCTATCTTTGTCACTCTACACCTTTTACCAACAAAAAAATGGCATGGTTAAAAAATGTCACCGTGTAAAGGCAGTGTTAGTTGGCAAACTGTATGGTATGTTCAGTTTAAGCAACTTCTAACATATTTAACGCCCGTTCCTTCTCAGTGAACAAACGCACAAATGTAATGTAAACAATAAAATAAATAAAAAGTTAATAAATTCTCACGAATGAGTTTGTTGATTATGAGGCTATTGGTTGAATCCTGAAGGCCTTCAAGAGAATCCGAAGGAAGAACTCCAAAAACCAATTATTTTTATTTATTTTTTATTTATTTCAATTCATTAGTGATACAAAGCCTCAAAGGCCAATAATGTGTATCAACTTGCATTAAATAATATAACCTGAGCTTAATTTATTTACAATATAAAGATTCTTAATTTATTTAAAACTATTTCTACTTTTACTCTAATATTCAAAAAAAGAAAAGAAAAGTTGGCTCCCCAGCCATTAAAACAAATTAAACTATTTTACTACATAAAATAATCAGTAAGCGGCATCTTAATTCTTAAGTTGTGTATTATATAATACATTTACCATAAACTAGATTTAGACACAACTAAGATGTGTTTAGAAATAATTGCAAAATCTTGAGGCGAAAAGCATTGTTACTCTGGGAAAATATGCGTAATTCGAGTGGAAGTGTATTCCAACATCTCGCAACTCTGACCAAAAACGATCTAGCAAAAACATTTTTAAAGATTCTAGGTATAAAAATCTGTGGGTTTCTGGATGAATGAGTAAAGGTAAAGGACGTTCTAAATGAGTAAGGGACATTATTTTTAATAACGTTATAAAAAAGTAATAAGCAGCGGTATTTAATAAACATGTCAAAGGAACACCCCAGAAAACGTACAACATGACTAGATACATGACTGCCACGTCGTAGATTATATACAAAACGTGTAATTATGTTAACAATACGCTTTAGCCTATTTATATTTGAAGCAACAGTTCCAGAAAATACCTAAATACCGTACAAGACTTGTGTCATCAATAGAGAACTTGCTAAAGTATGTTTTACATTTTGTGTTAAGTACATGTTTGACGAATAAATCTGACGTAAAACGCTATATACTCTACCCATTAAAGTATCAATATGATGTTTGAAGGAAAGTTCACAATCAATTGTAACTCCAAGGCACTTATGCTGGTGAACAAAATCAACTTTGTCTTGACCAATAAATATATTTAGTAGGTGTACAGATCTGTTACTAAATCTAAAATCCAAAGCCTTGGTTTTAGATGAGTTAATATTTAATGAATTACTCGCTGCCCAATCAACAAAGCGTCTCAGATAAACATTAATGTCATTCTCAAGTAACATTGGAAATTCACGACAACCATTGAAGAGGATAAAAATATCATCAGCAAACAAATACGTTTCACAAGCTGATGAGTTTACATGTAGCGGGAGATCATTGACATATAAAATGAAAAGCAGTGGGCCAAGGACAGATCCTTGGGGTACACCGGAAAATAAAGGGCAAGTATTTGACATGACACCATTTAACATGACAAATTGGGTTCTATCTTGTAAGTAAGAAAGAATAAGCATACATGCTGATTTGGAAAAACCAAAATTATATTTAAGCTTCCATATAAGAAGGCAATGATCAAGAGAATTGAATGCTTTAGACAAATCTAATGCAACTAGAACACATAACTTGTCATTGTTAATGTGTTCACGAATAGAATCAGTCAATTTAAGAAGCAAATGTGTGGTATTGTATCTTTTACGGAAAGCATACTGAGATTCAGTAATTCTTTGAGAACAATACTCAAGCATTTGTTTCTTAATAATGGACTCCACAACCTTTGATAGAGCTGGTAAAATTGATATAGGCCTTAGATCACATGGTTCTCTGACCGAACGACATTTAGGAATCGGTACCACTCTAGCAGCTTTCCAATGATGGGGGAATGAAGATGTAGTTAATATGCAATTAACTAAGTCCAAAATCAGGTTGGAAATGTAAGGAAAAACCTTCTTTATAAATGCAATAGGAATCCCATCAACACCTATTGATTTAGACTTTACGCTGCATAAGGCTTCTATAAATTCAGATTCATCCACACAACGAAAAGTGAAAGATGAGTCTGAGTCCGTAAAACTTTCCAAATTTAGGGGCATAACAGGAGTATTCGAAGAAGAACTAGAGAAGAAATCATTTAAGCTATTAACATCGATATCAATATTTTCATGATCATTACCCACACATCCAGATCCTCTTAACGCTTTCCATAGACCACGAGAATTTATTCCATTAAAAAGCCTGGAATAGTGATATCTTCTACATCTGCGTATTATAGCTTTCGCACGATTTCGATATTTGCAGTAGATTCGCCAGTGTTCTTGTGTTCGTTCATTCTGAAAAGACGAGAAGGCCAAATCCCTTAAAGACACAGCAAATCTTACATCAATAGACTTCATCCAGGGATCAACTGAGTGTTTGATCTTTTTCCTAACCACCGGAACAAACGAGTATAGGGAATCCAAAAGAGAAGTTATGCTGGCACATTTGGCATCCACACCAACACTACTAAAAACCAAATTTGGATCGTATGAAGCAAGAAAGTTCCATATGCCATTCCAATCAATATTGTTAAAGTTCCTGTATTCAACAAAATCAGGCAAGCTGCTAAAACTTATCGAAAGTGATGCAAAAATTAACGCGTGGTCTGATATAGCAGGACATTGAATCTGATCAGAATAAGCTACAATAGAAAAATCACTGGTTAGCATAAAATCTATCAAGGACGTAGACCGGCTACCTAGGTCGAAGTGTGTAGGCTTGGAGTTATGAATAATACTCAAATTTAATCGAGTACAAAGTCTACGAAAAATTATTGCTTTAGTTGGGTTAAACAAATTGAAGTTGAAGTCACCAAAAAGTACAATATTATTATATTCCTCAAAAATGTTACAGTGTAGACTTTCAAATAAATCAATATCACCAGTAGGCAAATAAATTACACCAAAAAGAACTTTAGTGCTCTGGAATTGTAATTCTAAAAACAATGATTCACAATGGTGAACTGAAGATTTAAAAACATGTCTAAAAGGGAGACCCTTGGATAAGTAAATTCCGACACCACCACCCCTACCTGGTATTTCACGATCACCACGACAGAAATAGTACCCCGGAATAGAAACTGCTGAATTTAATATATCAGGAACAAGCCATGTTTCAGTAACTGCTAGAATATCAAAAGTATTATTATTTCCCAAAAGATTCTTCAATTCATCCAGCTTGGTAACAGGCCGAATGCTTCTGCAGTTTATGTGAGCAACATTTAAGTTACTTTTAAATGGAGACAATACATTTTTTAAATAAGAATTGCCACTTACCAATGGACCAAGATTTTCATTAGAAGACATCAAAATAGGTGAAAAATGTAGAGGCGGGGAACCAAATGAAGAACAATAGTGTTAAGAAAAGTAATAAGTAACAATAAAAACCTAAATTTATCATTTATAAAAATAAAAATCTTTCTTAATATATTTCATAGCGCAGCTAATCGCTTACAAAAACAAAATGTGATATGAAAATTTAAAAATCGATCTGATAGAACAAAAGACTAATTAAATTTTATCAAAATGCAGCAATAATACAGAGGTTAAGTACTAATAATCAAACATAAGATAAATGAAAATGTATATGAAAGCAAATACTATAAAACTTCAGTTGGATGATGTACTCTGACCAGGAATCAACAACGAACATTCATTTATATCTCGAACAACTATACTGCCATCAGGCATTGTTAACCGAGCTTTAGTTTCACCATTCAGGATTCTAAATTTTGTTATTATATTTTGCTTACGGAGATTGGTACATATACTATTCAGTCTACTGGCAGCGGGGGAAAAGTGGTCATTTAGATATAATCTTCTGGAAATGTCCCCACCAACACCAGGTAAAACATCCCGAAGTTGCAGCGATCGACTCTGAAAATACTTCCTCATAATCTGGTCACGAAATTCGGCACAATTTAGCTTAACAAGAACATGTCTCTTTCTGTTAATATAGCAAGCCAAAGCAACGTCACGGCGTCCCAATTCCACATTAAAGGTAGCAGCAAGAGAAATTATCACAGACACTAAATCGTCCAGACCATCTGGAAGACCACTCACGAGGAAATCAGCCCGATTTAATCTGTGATGTAGTGAGTTGTTTTCGGCCCACAATGCTTTATTTTCTTCATGCAAAGAAGACACTGAGTTCTCAACCCTTACAACACGATCATTGCATTTGGAAATGTCTGCCTTGATTTCAGACAGGCATGATGTCATCTGTGTATTCATGTTGTCTATAGCCGACTTGATAGCAATCAATTCACCTTGATGACAAGCAATAAATGCATCAAGTTTCTTGTTAAGGTTTACAAAATCGTCACTTGAACTATTGCGATCCAGGTTAGAGTCACAAGACTGGCAAATAAAAGCACTGATCTTAATTGCCTTAAGTGCAGCAAGTTCCTTGTCAGATAGTTTGAGGCACAACGAGTGAAACCAATTACAGCATATGTTGCATTTGATGGACCCTTGGGTTTTCGTTACAGATTCATTGCATGATCCGCAAATAGTAAGTGTTTTCGTTGGCGGCATTTTATATTCCAGTAACAACAACAGGTAAATTTGCAGGAAAGAACAGCAAGAAGAAAAATCAGCAGCAACAACAATGTCTCGTTCTCAACAAAACGAAAAAAGGCCAATATACATTGCTTTATAATGAAAACGTTGATATTTTTTAGATTTCCCGACACAGAATTAGTCTTTGAACAAGATGACAATACGAAATATTGGCAAACAGTCGATATTTAAGCGTAAAAAACAAATCGCGATCAGCTGCAACTAAAACCACGTTTACTCAGGCATAGGGTTGCCAAACTTGCAAAAATGTGTAACATCATATTTTCTTAATAACAGTGAGGAGGTGCTACACATTTCTGACAAATTAGAAAAGAAAATCGAAAATAATGCACAACTATAATAATTATATCAAATGTGGGGAAATCTTAAAGTCACCTTCACCCACCGTCAGCGATAACTATGAATTTGTTTTCCGCTGTGGATGTTATGAGGATCATTATATTGTGTTAGAATCGTTTATGGTTCCTCCCTGTTCGAAAAATTGTAAGGAAAACGTGAGCTTCCTGGATGTGACCTATAAGTATGTCCCAAACGATATTGCCAAAGTGGATGTCCCCATTAAATATGAAAATAATGTTGGCGTCTATGATGTGGTATGTACATTCCCGAATATCGCATTTGATATCTCTAATGCGTTTTTTTTTTCATAGGACCCCTTGAACGTAGTTAAAAATAGTGAACCCAATGAAGAGGTGAAGAAAACTGAAATTAAAAAAGAAACCCTCTTGCACGAAACAGATGAAGATGGTGTTTACCAGAAAGAGGACTCGCAAAAGGATGATAAGTCATCGGACGATGTTTCTTCCGAAGATGAGAATTGGGAAAACATTGAATCTGATAATGAGGTATGTAGGCGGGAGGGTAATTAAACATATATATAATTTAAAATTAATTGTATTTTAATTTTTTATTCTCATTTCCAGTCTGTGAAATCCAACGATAGCAACTCACCATTATTTGTCGATAATTTCATCAAGTCCGAACAAAATGTATTGTCCCTCATTGAAGAATACAGAAGTCAAACGGGGCTTTGGAACCACAAATCTCCACAATGGCGCCTTAATAAGAGACATGATAAGTACTTGGAAAAAATAAAAGAACAATTAAAAGAAAAAGTGCATTTGGAAATGTCTCGTTCACAAATAGCTGCAGTGATTACATATTTATGTCGTAAATATAGACAAGATTTAAAGCGAATAAAATTTGGCGGAGAATCTACTGACCAGAAAAATCACCCGGCCTGGTTTTTCCCACACCTGGAATTTCTTAAGCCGGTTGTGGAACATAATCTATTCACAGCGTTTACCACCTCAGCGTCAGAATGCAATTTTAAACCAGAACAAACAATTCAGGTTTTGGGTATATACGAACGATTTCCACATCTTTGGAATACCGATCTTATAGAAAATGTTTGTAAAAATAAACGTCTGGAAGCTATCGAACAAATGCAAAAAGTTATTGAACAGGAAATGGGCCTCCAAATAAGTGAAGGGACCCTACAAAGCAATCTACAATTTATACACAATCATTTTGGTAAAATAAAACGTTGCCATCTGGTAGAGGCCAAACCTAAGGCCGATAAATATTTTAAACACATGCAATTTCTAAATGACCACATTGGTCCCTTTCAGTGTCCCGAATGTGCCCAGATATTTAAGAGCCCCTTAACATATAAGGTGCATAAATCCCAACATGATGGCTTGCCGGCATTACGCTGTTCCCTGTGTAGCAAGGAGTATAGTAATCCGGGTCCATACATTGCGCATGCCCGCCGACACATGAACGACTTGAGTGAAGAATGCACGGAGTGTGGAAAGAAATTTCTGGTGGCCAGTGATTTGAAAATTCACATGCGTTCACATACCGGTGCCCAGCCGTATTGTTGCGAAATTTGTGGCATTTCGTTTCGTCATAGCACCTCGCTAAATGTCCATCGACGTCGCCATGAACAGCAGTATTTACACAAATGTCCAATATGTTCGAAGGGTTTTTATAAAAAGGATCGCATGAATGATCACATAAGATCACACAACAATGTCAGAGACTTTGCGTGTAAAATCTGTAACAAAGCATTCAAGACACGTAAAACTCTGAAACAACATGAAGTCATACATGACGATGCACGAAATCATGCATGTTCGCTGTGTGGCAAGGCTTTCAAACTTAAAGTTGGACTGCTGCAGCATATGAGAACTCATGGTGGCCAAATATAATAATTTTTTAATAATGTATGTTGTTTGTGTTTTTCTTCAATAAAAGAGTTTACTCAAAATTTGTAGAATTTTTCCTGTTTGGTTTGTGTTTTTTTACTGCATCTACTTTTCCAATTTATGTAACAAAGTAATGCTTTAATAACACAATAGTTTTTCACTTAAATATGACGAGACCACCATAGCCTTTGTCTAAGATTCAAAATTACCTTCGAAGGAACTTCCAGGAATTCCTGAAGGGACTTAATAACTCCCAGTTCTTAATGGAAAAACTTCTTGGTATTCACTGAGGTGGTAATTGACCCCAACTAGTAGTAGTTGCGGTTGTTTCTAACAAAAACTTCCGGTGGTATAAATCAAGAATTCTGGAAATCTTCACGTTTCGAATTATGTTTTTTTGTTTGATTACTTCTTGGTTTTCCAATGAATGGCCTCTCCTATGACCTTGATCTTTTATTAAAAAAGGTCATTTCTTAGAACATATGAGGTCCTTCAAAATATCTCCTAATAGAAGATCAAAAAATAACTGTGGGCTATCAAGAAGTCTTCTGACAGAAGACCAGCAAATCTTAACATACAGGGTGAGTTAAAAAAGCTGCAACAAAGTCAAACGCCATAATATTTACATTTTTTTTTTAATTTTATTAAATGAAAGCAAAAAATGTTGGAGCATCAAATTTTAGAATAAGTTTAGATTTGTTCGAATTGGACACCTTTGGCACGAATTATAGCCTTCAAACGGCCAATGACTGAACCGTCACACGCTGGACCGCACCCTCCAGAATATTTTAGCGATAATATTCGGCATTTATTCTGATGCCAGAGTCGAATAATACGAGCGGAGAGGGACCATCGGCTGTTATGGTGGCTCACACCATCACTATGACCGGCGCTTGAGTTCTGGTGGCCAACCGAAGGTGCAAATTTTCAGCTGACCTCTTTGGCAAATAAACACGATAATTTTGTTTGTTTACACACTGCTGGAAAAAAAAAACAAATTCACCACTTTCGGTCTAGCGAAGCAACTCGTTAGCTCTTTTGAGTCTATTTTCTTCCTGTTGCGGTGTAAATTCTTACACTTTTTGAAATTTCAATGGATTCCAATATTTGCCGAATGGAATATTGCGATATGATCACCTCACGAGCCATTTTTCGGCCACTGCGACGCCGGTTTCTATCAAGTCGCTTCTTTACTTTTCGAACCATTTCTGCTGATATTGCTATTTTCTTCCGTCCACTTCCTTGACGTTACGGTAACGAGCGATGGCACGAGACACAAAAGTTTTATTCACATTTAAATACTGGAGTGTTCTAACGATAGCCACTTGTGGTTTTCCAGCCAAATATAAAGAAATCGCCCTGTCGCGCTTGAATTCCATCACGAATAACTTTTTTTCAGAAAAATTCTCACAAAAAGGCTTGTAAACAATATAATAGGCACTGGAATAATTCTAAAATGAGTCAAATAGCGCGAAATATGAATGAAATGCCTGGACGTTCTCTCAAAAATATGATCCTAAGTATTCAATCTTTCAATTACATGGCAAATCTGGTTAATATCATTAATGCGCGCCCGCAATTTAAGATTCTTCCAATCATTGATTTTGAAAACGTTTTGTTTTTATTTTTCATAACAGTCGGCAAAACCGACTGATGCTTTATAACTTGTTATAGGTCTTCTTGTTGAAACCCAATTATCTTCATGTAATAGTCGAAGGGGTCTATGAACCACATTTGTATATTTCTATGGTAAATTATTGATGCTCATCACGATTTTAGGCAGTATGCTTCATAATGACATCAATTTCAGTTTAAGTACTTGCCATCCTAATAATGTTATCAGTTCTCAACTGATGGAATTTTTTGTACAAACGTTCGTCATACCTCGAGTTAGGTTTTTAAATATTGACCACGCCTACTTTTACGTCCACTTTTTTGATTTATCTAAAATCTTTATATTTGCCAGATAATGAAGATATCGGTTTGAAAATTATTACACGAGACACTTTTGACTTTCCCTCCAATCCTAGGGATTTATTTGGGGGCTGAGGAACTGACCACGCATACTTCTAATCTATATATATAATAGCCAATTGTTGTTCGTTGGTAATTGAATCAGTTCAGAACGGCTGGAACAATTGGGATATTTTTTTAATGTTCGTCCTACCACGAGTTTTGTTTTTATGTAATGAAAAAGTGCCTACTCTCAATTTTACGTCCATTTTTCGATTTACCTAAAATCCTAATATTTGCCAAAATAATGAAGATATCTGTTCCACAGTTAATATGCAACGTAATCTTGGCTCTCCCTCCAAGCCTAGGTATCTGTGTGGGTCAGAGGAGCTGCCCACATCCACGTTTTTAGATCAATATGTAAAAAAAATTAAAAAAAATACAGTAAAACTTCAGTTGAGGATGATTGGGCCGATTCAACTCATATTTTCTTTTGGTTATTTGTAATTACACTGGAAACGTTTTCAAGAAAGAAAATTTTGAGAAAAGTCCCTAGAAAAATTGCAAAACTTAAATTAACTGTTCTATTTGGGTATGGAATTTTGTGTAGAATTGTTTCAGATTGCCTTTTGGAATTGAAAATTCTTCTTGAAAAAAAAAAAAAACAAAGTTAAATTTTGCATATTTTCTTTACGTGCCGTTATATGATTGCCATACCAACATTTTCAATTTCAATTATTAAAAAATACATTTCGAAGCATCAAAACATTCAAAAGCTCTACGTGCTTTTAAACAGTAAACGCCGGTATTGATTTCACAATACTCAAAACATTAAATGTTAAATTACAGTTCGTTCGGTAGAAATTTTAACAAAAACATGCCATAATTTAATCGACAAATATTTCTACTCTTTAACATACTTTATGGGACTTCTAACTTTTATAAACCGATGACACCTTATTTATGATAGTTAAATTGAAGTCATATTTCCAGGATTTCTATTTAGAACCTCCAAAAAATTGTCTAAATATGGAAGTAATCCATCCAATGCAAAACTCATTAGGACTGCAATCAGTGAACTACCGAATATGAAGAGGCAGTGTAATATGCGTACTATACAAAATAGTGGAGCCAATTGAAAATTAAGTAAGAAAAGAATTCATATCATCGGAAAAATCTTCCGAACTCGTAACCTTAAATCACAGGTAACGTAATACGGGGACTATGTACTATCGTCAGTAATTACACTGCGACGCAGACAATCATGAGGTTGGGAAATTTTTCGGTTGGTAGATAAAAATCCCAAAAGGGTCCATTTTATATAGCATAACCATACACAAAGGGCCTCAAATATTTTCCTCTATACTCCGCAAAAGTTAAGATAGAGTTTTAAATTTGATGCAGTCCTATGGGTTACATGAAAAATCATTTGTACAAAATATGTATTCCTTAAATGTTGGTAATTCGAGATTTTAGAATTAACAAACCATTCTTTCAAATAATTATAAGTATAGGACCAAGCTTTGGTATAAACATTATATGAAGGCATCCGTAAATTTCAACTATTTACAGGGCCTTGGTCACAATTTCAATTGATTTTGCCCTTATTTGGCATCTTGGCTTCAAAGGGATAGAAGAAAATTTTCAATGTTAATGTTTTGGAGTAGCGCCCATATAAATGTACCTCCTGATTTTAACTATTTCGAGGGTTTTGATTATAAATATTTTCGAATCGATTTGGCTTAAAATGTGTGCTTAGGCTACATTGATAGAGAACCATCTTACATGGGACTATTATAAACAATTGATATATACTGTTTAATATATGTGCTATATTATTTGGCTTTCCTACTTTCAAATTAAAACCTCTGGCTGAAAAATAGGATCAAGTTTTTTGAAACACTATAAATCGCCCGTGAACGTATATGACATTTTTGAAATGCATATTTATTTCTCTTTAGTCGAGTCATCATTTACACTAAAAATTGTGCCATTTATGTGGGCCAGATCTGTGAATTATTATGCTTTAAAAACTATGCATTAAAGACAAAACTACAGACCGGCAACGCGGTCTGGGCCAGCTAGTTATTAATAAAATCATATTAATACGCTCAATTCTTTTATTTTATTTACAATTAAAAAATAATAATTTCGTATTTTCCGCATCAATATAACATATATTTGTTTTATGCATTGTTATAAAGTCAACGACCAATTTGACGGCGGGTCATTATCCCTAGCCGAATTTATGACTAAAGCAAACTTTTAAACTTCTTCATTGACCTAGACATAATAGTGTTTATGTCTCCAAAATAGAAGAATGGAGTATCATAAATGGAATGTACGCCAATGAACGCTGTTAAAATGTGTGATATGGGTTCACACACACGCACACATACAATAAAGGCATTCGCCTTCATAATAAATAAAAGAACCCAAGTGTGCTATACTTATTTATTTATTAAGGTTGTTGTTGTTACCCTCGTCGTTGTTGACATCATATCACAACATTGAATGTTTTTTGGCGACAAGAGTTCTGGCAGAATAAAAACATAAACTATTTGCTAAATAGTCTAAATAACTAAAACATTACAATATACAGCCATAGGCTGTTGAATTGAGCGGTTGTGTTTTAGTGCTTGAAAAAAAAATAATTTTTTAGGATGTCAAGGGAAATTTGAATTTCTCAAATACAATTTATAAACAAAATACACTAGTCTTTGGCATTTTTATATTTTGAAACGGACTTGTAAACTGATTTGCGAAAGTAATAGAAAATAAACTCCAAATACTTCTATTCCAATGTTTCAATTCAAAATTCCGTGGCTGTTTACGATATCCGTTTGCTGTAAATAGTTTCATGTTTCGTAGTCTTAAATGTTTAATAAAAATATAACTATTACCAAATTCATTTGTCGTTCAAACAACAACTCTGTGCCGCATCAATATTTTTCATAAACATTCCACAAATAGCACATTGCAGTCGTGAGAATGGGGGTTGTAAACACGATACAGTGATGTACGCTTCCGTGGAATGTTTCCTAGCTATGAGGATTGTGAAAATATTTTAAATTTATATTAAGATTTGTC